TCGGAGGAATTCTAAAATAAAACTCGTACTGAAATAACTACAAGTAGTGTGTGGAATCGATTATCCACTACACAACAATGTCTGATTCAATTGATCCAATTCCCTGCACACAAGACGTAAATTGAAAACAAACTGAATTGCGCATCTGCACTTTGCAAAATAAGGACACGCTTGCAAAGGCGTTTTAATCCCGGTCAATGCTAATCCAAAGTTGGTGATGAGGGGTGAAATTTAAGTGATTTTTTTACAACTACTTAAATTGATCTTCAGTAGCTAGTTTACCGTCAACGCTCCGATATCCAGTGCGACAGGAGGCCGATCTGAGGGTAGGGGCAACTCTTTGATCACTTTCGGCAGACTCTCGACAGGGGGACTTCCAGCCGCAGTGGAAACCGCAGGAACATCGAGGAGGAGACAGTCCTCTCCGCCAGCCGACCATGTGATCGCTACCACGGAACCGGAATTGGGGAGCAGTCGCATGTTGTACTGGAAGGGTGGGGCCCCGGCGCCCGCAAAGTCCTCCAATTGCGTCAACCGCGGCTCCACTTTGGGCTAGAAAAAAAAAGATGGCGGCTGCCGTCAGCCAATCAGCGGTTAAGGGGGGACATTATTGCACGATGCAGGTACCAGTGCACAAAGGAAGGTGAGACAAGTGCCACGACCTGGGTCGGCACTTTCCAGTGCCAGAAGGAAGCAGTACGTCGAGGACCACAAAATATCGATCGGCCGGGGATCCGCGTAGCCTGAAAGCGAACAGAGGAGGCGCTATCAGCGACGACACTAATATGTCGGCAGGCATAAATTCAGTTGGAGGGTGTTGGTGGTATTGAAGGAGAACCCTTCTAGCATCATTCTCAAGTAGACTTTGTTGGAAATGTCGTCTAGTACAAGTGATCCTGGCTTACACCAGAAGGCCACACGACTACGGACGAAAGCACAGGTGACTTTTGGTCTACAAACTGCTAGACATCCTTGCGAAAATCACAAGAATGTCTACTGACCTTCAGCCGACCAATCAAAGAATGAGCCGAGATCATCCAATGGCATTGTGAATTCACTACGCACAGCTAGCAGCTTGGCAGTAAGTAGAAGTCAACAAGAGGGGGAGACAACTCACTGTGGATGGCTGTGAGGGGTGTCGCGAGGGGTATAACACGCTTAATCTTGAGATCGTGGTCAACTTGGACGATCGCCGTTGTGTTCATCTGGGAGACGCCCGGAATGACTCCGACTGACGAGACGGCCAACTGCTTTCCCTTGGGACTCCAGGAAACTAGACAGGTCAGGCAGGTGGATTAGATTGCAGGCAAGTGGCGTGGGCGTCACGTGGTCCATGCTACCACGATGGCATTTACCCTATGGACACTACTTATATCGTTGTTAGTAGTGAGTGCGTTTAGGCGCTTAAGAAGGAACAAGAGTGGTTACTCCATATTGTGCAATTTGAAAAGAAACGCAGGCTGTTCAGCACTGGAAGGGCTTCAGCGAACGCTTGGCTACTTCAAGACCGAAAACAAATAATCATACCCCCTCAACAGGCTAAGAAAGCCGACAGATGGATAGCAATTGACAATTCGTTCAATTTGGCTCTGCACCAACAAAACCAACTGCCACGAGTGTCTAGTCAAGAAATCTTGATAATTCGAAATCGCACAGAAAAGCACCGAGTTTACGATACCTAGTGACGTCTGTAAATCAATAGAAATCATAGTTGGAGTAATAACCAATGAGAAAACAGGTTTACGCTTTATACACACGTGAAGAAGAAGACATGATAACCAATCAAATGTAGCCTGGATTGGCCATTGAGAAAGCGAATGTAGTTTGGGTAAACTAATATGTGTACAAAGGAATGTGATCAAACGAACAACAGGACACTATTGGCACATGGAGCCAGAATGAAAAGTGGGCTTAAACTACGACAAATTTGGGAATTAATGACCCTATAGGAGACGCCAAGAGACACATGAGTGCCTTCAATAGTCGGTTAACGGTGTCATTTAAACTGAGGGGTTTCGTGCAAGATTTTCCCCCGAATAATTAGTTTCTTGAAAAAAAATTAGAGTTTCTGAAGAACAGATACAGTTTTACGTCCGTTTTTTGATGTAAATCGGAGCGCAAAATGAATACACCAGCGTGTCTACATGTTTTTTTTTTTTAATTGACAAACGTCTCGTTGCAAAAATGTGTGCGTAGAGCCATTTCATGTCTGCATCACCTTCGCTTTGCATTCAGCATTCAAATATGTGCAAACTTAAACGCGTATTCACAAGATATTTTACAGCGCTGGTCGAATATTAACAAAGACAGCCATGGTTGATTATTGACGTGGAGAACACAACAACCGTTCACAAAAAAGACACAATTCCGGCTCCGCAGAAATAATTGGCCATTGCGTGAACCTCAGCTTACATTATTGGGATTATTTTAGGCGTGTTTTTTAAAAAATAGCGGACTAAAACGTCCGTGCATTCTGTTTTGTCCGATGGCCGTTTGAACTGCAGAATTTATTTGTGAAACTCAGCGTAGCCGTTGAAGGCAGTCAACCTGACACTCGAATACCAAATCGGCGAGGAAATAATGAAAAAAAAAAGTGCTATATAAAAACGCACTAGGGCTAAAAGTAGCGTATCTAGCAAACGTACACGTGGAATATACGAGACACATTAAGTTTGACCAAAACGGATAACGTACGGCATCTGACTTGCATTGAGTTAGGCATGGTTCCGATCAAGCTAAGCGGTTGACCGTGCTGAGGATTCGCCGTGAACAAGCGCACGGAGCCCGATTTCGTAACCAAAGCGAACATGTACGGATCCGCAGGATTCCAGGCTAAATCTATAACGGCATTGGCAGTGGGGGGAAGGCCTTGCTCGGCACCGCCCTGCGGAGTGCTCAGATTAAGGGGATCCCCAATAAATCCGTACGGAGGCTGAGCAGACTGGAAGTCAGAAAAAGAATTTGCTGGTCAAGAGGGCCATGACATTAAGAGACTAGAATTTATACAAAACAATCATCTCAAGGAAATAAACTCGCCATATTTTGGATGTTTATGAGTTGTAGAAGACTTGCACCATCTTGGGACTGTGAACAGACAAGGAGGAGACCTCCGGTACAATTGGCTGCAAGCCACAAGATAGGACGGGGAAAGGGAATGGAAAAATTTGGCTGGAACGAAGTGAGTGGCTTATCTTTCCTTTGAGAAAAGTGAAGACTCGCTTGGCTATAATCATTGGCAGAGAAGACAGCAAGATCTAAAAAGATGCAAAATGTGCAACGGACACCAAGACACAGCAGTTTATGTCGTATTTTGAGTAACAATAAGACCGAAATTTTGATCATACGAAAACTACTAGTACTTAAGAATAAACAAGTTCAAAGTTTGAAAAATTATTAGACCACATACAAAAAGGTGCCATGCAACGAAAATTCATACGATCAACTGTAATATAAATAGCGCAGTTAGGAAGATTTTCATGGCGGTCGACGAAGACAGAAATTAAGCCTGGAAACATCGGTAATACGGTAAAACTTCATCATGGTGTTAAAGGAATATCACATCAAGGATAACGTGGAAAAAACAAAGCAGCATACCAAATATAAGGCGTAAATAAAGCAGAAAAGAACAAGGCATGACAAGGCATGTTAGCTTTTAAAACTCACCATTACAACGGGAGACAAACACAATCCCATTACATGACGCCGCCAACAAGCACGATCTGATTTCAATGTTGTTTGACTCAAACGGCAAAAAGTGAAACTCTGTCGTCGAAAACGAACCCATCATTTCAGAGTTAGCAAATAGAAATATGATCCCCGGCAATAATTACTTGTACCTTGCGCCAATCAACAGCAAGTTGATTGGTTCACTTCGTGAGATTCAAAATTACGATTAATCAATCCAAATTACAACCTTCACCATTCGCAACAAATGCATCTGCATTATAAACGATATTATCAAAGCCTATTAAAACGTCTACTGATCTAAGATATAGACAAAATAGCATAGTAATGAATTACATTTTTCCAAAAAATTAAGAAAGTGAGCTGCAGCTGCAAAATATTTGTCGATCATTTTCTCTGCATTATTCTGTAATATACTCCAATGAGTTCCAAGGCAATTTTGTATTATAAACTTCGACGGATGTCAAATGTCCATTGATCCTAAAAAAATTAATCATTGCCCCTTGTGTGAAATGAAGAATATGCACTCTATAATTTGCACTCGATTGCGTGCTGATTTCGTTGATCTATGGCTTGATTGCGTCCGAGAATTAGGTAATACAGCAAAACATCAAAACAAGTCATAACGGCAAATTTAGGTCTGTATTTCCAGTACAGTCTTTAATCTAATGCAAACAACCACTTGAATCATGGAATTTAAATTATGCAAGCATGTTAATCTACAGGTTCTCGTCCCATTTTTTGCAATTATATGCTGAGAGAGCATATCATTATTATATTTATCCGGGCCCATATTCTTTTCTGCACATACCACTTGGATTTAATTGGACGCTTGATAATATAACATTTCACCTGTTTTAAAGTTCGAACAAAAGCTGCCTCCCAAATTGACTGCATGCCTAGAGTATGTGCTGCTACAATCCCTTTAAGTTCTCACATATAAGTTTCAGTCAACTGTCGCGCAATTACGTAAATTTGATCGCAGCCAGCGTGAAGTTCTTATATGCCCTTCTATCAACCGCCAATGCATAACACTCTCGAGCCGTCTCTAAACTTGGACACCACTCTAATGCGTCATAATAACTCCACAAGCCGAATCACACAGGTAAGACCACATAACTTCGTCTCAGTGTCTCGACTAATTGCCGATTATGCACCCCTTGCATTATCGAGAAACCTAAAAAAGGAAAATACACAACCACTTTATTCCCAAAAAAAACAAGTACACTCATGCAAAAATAAATAATGAAAATAATCACAGTCAAGTAGATCCCTAAAACAAGGTAATACTTTCAGGAGTCCATGACTATGCTGCGTTACGCGTCTGTCGTGTAGGTAACCCTCATTTTGCATATCTGAGGCAGACTTGCCAACAAACGCCTCTCCTGTTCGGCCCTGTAAAGTAAAATGTTTAAAATCCTCACCTCCACTTAAACCACAACCTTTAAACCAGACAGCATGATCCAGGAGGCTTGAAAACTCACGATAAATTCCTGGCTACGAGAGATGTCAAGAGACAAAGTCGCTGTCCGAGGGAATACAGTTGATCAGGGGTTAACTTGGCTGCCTGGTCGCCCAAGTCAAGATATGTGAGCTGAGTGAGACCGGACAAGGCATCCATGAAAAACGCCAAATCTTCTTCACCTTCGACAGGTAACGGTGTCAGTGGCAGGAGGAGACGCGAGAGACTGGGTACCTCAAGATCCCTCAACATTTGAGACAGATCAGCAAGCTTCAGATTTGCTGTGGGCAGACTGGAAAGCTCCAGCTCACGAAGTGGAAATTTCTTCTCTAGAATGTGAATACAATCAACTGCTAGCGATAATACACCATCGTTTATTTCGGACACGTGCTAGGTACCCCAGTACAGGCGAAAATCCCTAGGTGCTGTAGTTGTCATAAAGACAGTAGAAACCAATCAAAGTGAATTTTAACAAGGTTGAGGGTTTTACATTAATATCGACCAGGTAACTGACTTGCCAAACACTGCAGATGCTCGCGGGTGAGTTTAGGCAAGCAATGAAAGCCGTCCAGTTTTTCAATTGGCTGTCCGCCCAATTGACTGAGCACCCGATCGACGCGAATCCTATCACAGCCCCTCAGCTCAACACGAGCCAGCACAGGTGAGGTGGGAAGGAGGCAGGGTGGGATTTGCAGGAGACGCCCGCACCCACTCACATCCAGTCGCAGCAGGGAGGCTAACCGAGGGGCTTGGGAAAGCACGGGGGCGATACCCGTTACCTGGGTCAGACAAAAGGCGTCTGTCAAGTGCTGTGCAAGTCAGCACGCCACAGCAACTACACATTTAAATATGCGAACTAGGATCAGCCATGCACACCACTTTGCGCACTCTTCCTATTGGCTCACACGCACAGCGAGTCTACTCCCAATTTCATTGGTCGTCAGGGTCGCTCAGGACATATCTGATTGGGCGGCTGCGTGTCTTTACCCGGTCTACTAAGGCGGAAAAAAATACTCCCAAATAGTGAATTTGTGCCTCGGTAACCACGAGACGCACCTCGGTTTTGGCGATAACAAGCCCTTTCAGTTGGGGAAAAAGTCGGACGACAGCAGCAAGACCCACGTCGGTGAAGTCCTCAATCGCCGAAATGTTTAAATACCGCAACGGCGCGGGAACGAAGGCTTCGCCAGTGTCGTCGTCCAGACGCGAAGCAAGATCCCGCCAACCCGCGTCCGAGATTTTTGTAGACGCAACTCGTAGGATACGCAGTTTCGGAAGGCCTACAAATCAATGCACCGTTTATTGGCGATTACGGCTTCACCAGACGGTCTAATTTCCTACACTTGACGACGTTTGTGTGACAATGTGATTGGCACAAGCTCAAAACACGCCCTATTTTGACGGCTTCAATTGACGCAGGCCTTATTTACTACGCTCAGATTGAAGAGCGAACCTCAAAGAACCACAAACAAAAAAAACATACTTGCGATAGAAGGAATCGTGAAATTGTTGACTCCATCCAAGCCGTCTAAGTGAAGCACTTGCAAATTTTGAAGTCCTTGGAAAAGAAAGGAGCAATTACTTGGCTGACGTCCAAATACAAACTTGTTACGACAGGTCAAATAGCAGTGCATCCGCAAGACCTGAAATCATGGAAAGAGTGCACCAGTCTTCAATCAACAGAAGACTCACTGCCGATCTGTTCGATGGCGTAACTCGAGACCTGAAACGCTCCGAGTCCCTTCAGGCGGAGTTCCACCAAACCAGGCCAGTGACGAGTGAGACAGATTACCAGGTCGCTTGTCACCAAATCGTAGTAGTCCAAATCAAGGCAGCACACGCAACTAAGGCAGTAGGCAACAAAAGACGCTTACAACATCGCTACAAAAACGTGTGCGTGGTGTGAGTACTTGTTGGTTGAGAAATGCAAAACCCAGCGATACTTGGCAGCAACTTCTGACTGCGTACACCGGACTACGCTCATATATCCCCCGAGTCATTAAGTTTAATTATCATTGGCAGTTTCAAAGGTCAAATCGTGCAGATTGGCAAAGCTGTGCCATACAATTGGTAAGGAAGACACCAGCAGACAAAAAAACGCCAAGAAGGGCCTACTTTCGAAGGAGGAAGGCAGAGCGCACGTTGAAGAGGCCCTTGCTGCAGAGTTCACGCATGAACGCCACTCCCAGGGCCTCAGGCCACGCGAAAGCCAGTGAGTGGAGGGTCCGCGTGGTGCCCAGCACACCGCTGTCCGCCGGCACAGACGCCAGACGCTCCAGGGCGGCGTGGATGTCACTCCCGGGACCCCCATTGACGGCGCGATCGACGAGGTCAACCAGGAAGTCCATGCAGAGTTTCCTGAGGGGCCGAACTAGGCTGAGGGTTCCTGTCGACGGTGCAGCTGCGGGCGGTGCGTTGTCCGGGGGCGCAGTCTGTGGTCTGTAGGAGCGCCAAATTGCGGCCGAGCCTACACAAGACGAGGTGTTGTTGTTGTTAAAGGGCATTCTAGCCTGCTAGTCCAATGACCTTGACCGAGAGCGAAAACACGTACCGGGCCTGCCTGGTGTTCGAGAAACACGAAATGGGGGCTGTGGTGTGTGGGTGACGGATCGATAGTCCGCGTCCACAACCTCATTCTCTGCATCTTCGGCTTCTTCGTCTTCATGCTCGACTGGGTCTGGATGAGTTGGTTCCTGTTGAGGAGGAGGAGGAGTAGACGGTGGAGGCGAGGAGGGTTCGGCAGGAGCAGATGGCTCGACCTCCTCAGCTGGATCTTCCCTCTCCGACGGTGCACGACAGATACTTGCGTCTGAACAATGAAAAGGATTTCGATTGGTTAACTCGCCGTGTGCAACATTGAAACACGGCATCACTTAAGTAAAGATTTGTGGGCAGGCTTCTACAGCGTGGTTTCATCACGTGACCAGAAAGATAGCTGAAGGTAAAAGTGCAACGTCATCTTGAGGTCACTGTGTGCATATCACACCACAAAATCGAGGCGACCTTCTTGCCATCGAATACATGGGCAGTTTTGGCCACACTACATAAATTAAAATTACCAGTCTTCAACGAGGCTTACCATGAACCACAATAACACCCATGTTTTCCACGATACCGAGGTCCGTCAACAATTGCGACCTCGAGTCGCCCTGAAGCCGACGTCTTGGCCAATCAGTTGTGAAGAGGGACACGCAGGGCAGGTGAAGTGATAGTGTGGTGTGATCTAGAACGGTGACTGCGTCTAGACAAGTCTGAACAAGATCCTCCAGGTCTCCAAAGGTGGCCACTGACTTATCAAATCGACCCACGGTTAGCTCAGTGTTCTCAGGCAGACGCCAGTCCGTTGGAAGGGAAATCTAGAAGAACGCGTGGATTCAAACAACCCTCCAATGGGATTCCAAGATACAGAGATCGAGATAGGATGCAAGAGGACTTACACGGATCTTGATTTGAAATGACGCATCCACATTTGCGTCAGTAGGGGTTGCGGGATTCGCCACTGGAGGCTGAGTTGAGGTGGTTTGTGCGTGTTCTGCTCTATAAGGAGAGAGAGAGGACACAGGGAGTTGTGCACTTGGCGAAAAGACCCCCGCGGAAGGATAATTAGTAGGCATTACTTGGCGGCCTTTTGCCTTTCAATTTCACGCAGGACTCTTTCACGATCCTCCATCTTTCGGCGTTTCTCCTCGCGCAGTTCCGCCGCCAACTTTTTCGCCTCTTCCTGCTGTGCGCTCAACGACGGCTGAAGGATCTTGTAGCGGCTTTTAACCTAACAATGAACAAACCAGTAAACTTGGAACTCACGGACCACATCAAACCCGGTATAAAGAAGACAATACCTAGTCTGCATCACCAGGTAGAAACCGATAAATTTAGGATTACTAACAATAACCTATGGTGTTTGATTACATTACATCCCGCGAAACAGCCGATGGGCAGCTTATCGATATCTTGAGAGCAACTCACCACAGCCTCTTCCTCCGCTGTCTGAGACTGTTCGCCAGAAGAAGATGGCGGATTAGGCGGTAGGTCGAGAACAGGTGAGGAGGACGAAGCAAGGCTGGATTGGCCAAACTCTACGGGAAGAGATGATGTGGCGCTATACATAACACGCAGTAGGGCGGTTCATCGACCTGCTACGGGACAGTGACGACCAAACCAATTACAGTCCACGCGATTTGCAGCAAATTATTAAACTCGCGGACTGTGACACCCAAACGATAAGCTAGCTATTAGATTACTTACGAGACTTAACCCCTTTGGAGAGTCGTAGTGGAGCGACTGTCGTTGCTCTGCCAGACGCTGATCTAGAGAGAGAGAGATGTTATGTAGGAGATCACAGCTTGATGTAGATTATTCAAATTACAAATTTCAGATATACGCCAATAATGAAACAGGACTAACCGATTGCAGATGAAGTCGACTGCCTCCGCTGTCGAAGTGCACCCTTGGCTCATGGCGATTTCGATCGCCTCTTCGGGGAAACCCATTTCAAGCAGCTCCACGTATGGATCCATTCTCTGTCAAGCTAAAAGAAGAGGTAAGTAGACTGCTACGGCGTGATATAATACGAGGTACCTAGGGAAGGAATGAGACCGGCGGCAAGCGTGTATTAAAGAGCCCAACCAAGTTGTGTGGCGTTTGTGCAAGTGTAACTATAGCTCAGATGTGTGAAACAGTGCGAGTCACGTAGGGACAATCCAAAATAATCATTCGCGCCAATCCGAAGTTCACTCTAATGGATCGCCAGGCGGCTGCAGGAGCATAAACGTACGACTGAAAGCGCTGTTATTGTCCATTCTGTACACTTATGTGCGGGTTTCGTGAATAGGGGAAATCACCGAGTGGAGAATGTAGCACCAAAATAAATAGCTTGTTAAAACCCGGGCGTGTTTCTCAAACCGAACCGGCCAGACCAAAAAGAGAGGTATTAGTCAACGCGGGGAAGGCTTGGCATGCGATAAAGAATGATCTTGAACGCACCCCACATGAAAGTGGTGGTCGCCAATAAGTCTGCACGCACTGAGAAAAGAAAACAATCTATACATTCACTCACTGTGCTGACAACTAACCACTTCAAAATGACTAAATCTAGGGGTATACAAGTACAGAAAACGAACGGAAACAAAGAGGTATGCAATGTTTTGCACATCCGAAACACCGACTAATGAACGAGCGTAGACATCAATCGAGAAGGTGGTTCAATAAGCAAAACATTATTAGGCAAGAAGTGATTCACGCGATCGAGTAATTGAAGTTTCCATCCAGGAACTGCGGTGAATTACTTGATCGTGACTAATGCATAAAAAAACGTGATTTCAGCCCCAGATAAACCCATTACTTCTTTTTTTTAAATTTTGATACATAATTGTCGAGTTTTGCGATTTGTGAGTAAGCCTTCGTCTAGTTGTAAAAGAGAAATTGCCTGGCCGTCTAGGGCAACAAGACCTGTTTTTTGGGGGAAGAACAAACCCGCGACAACAAACACCGTGTGATTATTTAAGTAACCATTCGTTGTGTAACGGAGGTCTCAGAAGGCAACCACAGTAATTGTTGATAAGTGCCAGACATCAGGAACATTGGGATTGGACTTCCGGTTACTCTATTCCTTGAAACGTTCCCAAAGCATCAGTTTGTTTTTCTAGCCAGCCAAACTCCAAGCTCTTTGATAAATTCCAAATTGTCCGTACCTCCGTTGCTATATTACCTCCCTTTTCAACCGAGTTTACCCATTACAGTCAACAATAATGCAGTCTCTACTTCTTGGCTTCTTTGTATCTCTCGCTTAAGATTACACATTCACACTAAGATTTAAAAAACACTGCTTACTCCTATCGTAAAGTGTATTAGGTCGTGCTACAAAGATGTAAGTGATCTGCAAATGAAGAAAAATGCTCAGGTTCCGGACACAGGTGTTCAAAAACAAGGTAAAAAATACAAGAAAATTGTACACAAAAGACATGATTACCGACAAAAATAGAATTCAAAGCGATAAAAGAGATTACTTAGGTAAAAAGGAACGGCAATCACCAAATTGCGCAATGATATAGTTTAGACTTAGCGGCTTTGCTGTTATTGGTTGGTCGGTCAAAAATCAACAATTTTTTTTCAATCAAGTTCGCATATAAAAATTTAGAGATTTTTTTCAAAGAGAGAGGTTAGTAAAGATAAACAGCCTGTTACCGATCGAGTCATTTTGTTGTCACATACGTTATAAAACCTAATCTTTAAGTTAATGACTTTGATTAACATCGAAATTTGTGCCCGTGTTAACGAATTTTGAAACGAGTTGACCATTACAAATAACAATGAACAAAGCGGTATTTTGGCTCAAAGCCATTTTATTACTACAGGTAAACTAACAAGTAGACTGTAAAATTTTTTTATGAATTTAAGAGAAATTTCGAGAAATGATTTAGTTAATGTGACAGTTGAAATTCACTTCTGACCGAGTTTGGGAGGCAGATAGCCAAATGAGTTAAAAGTAAATATTTAATGCTACGCTTTCAAAAATGACAGCAGCAAAACTCGTAGTTTCCACTTGTCAAACCATAAAATATAACAATTAAAAATCAACATGTTCTACCTCGCTCCACCAAATTCGTATCCCGCTGGCCGTTAGCTTACTGGTCTGTCTTATCTAAGGCAGATATCGTCATCCTGGATACCTGACGGCATCTGGTGACTACCAATTTATATCTGATTAATGAAGCCTCGACTTCCATGGCATGCTTTTCCCGAGCCGAACTATAAAACTCAGTGCTCGCGTTCAGCAAGTTAGAACAAAAAGGTCATGGCTTATGACTACTATCTAACAAAAAATATCCTGACGAGTTAACTGTGAAACAGTATATTTTGGATTTTTCTGCGCTTCTACATTTTAAATAACGTTACAACCCCTAAAGTCTCGATGTTAGCATTATTTTACGCAGCTTTCTAAGTATAATTTGAATTAAACGTGGTCAGAGATGTTTGCAGTTAGGTTAATGACGGGAATTTAAATTTTGAACACGGTAACAAAAATCTCATAGTAAATCAACTGCTCTTATTTTTCGATAAGGATAGGAACTCAGAAAAAGGCTAAACTCTTATTGTGCATAGATCGAGTAAATTAATTTTTACTTCTTATCCATTTCTGGCTGATTGGAAACATGTGTATACTCCCCCGAATTCATGCTCTAGGGTCTTTTACTAACCCTAAATATAACGTTCTGTTTGTGCCATCAGCGTCGTTACCAAATTACAGTTGTATTAATAATTAAAATTATTCGGTTTAGGTAAAAAAAATTATATTAGATCCGTAGTATTCCAAAAGAGCGAAGACATATACTGGGATGTATGCGCCTATCTATCGATTACCATTTTTAGACGTGAAGTAAAGAGTTGTTGTTGAGACTTCTAATTCATCTGAAGGACGCATGCATAGAAACTATGGTGAGAAAGGGGTTTAGCACACAAACCTGAGATCACGGCAGTAAAGGCACTGATTGATCCGCAGGCATATTGCCACGTCAGGGGAAGAGGGGAAAATGGCAAGAGATATAGGATGAAGAACATATTGGTCTAAAATTTCGCGTAACAAATCAGAATTTTTGCAATTAAATTATTTTGTAGCTGCCATCTAAATACAAAATAACCGTTTGGAGTTTTCGTTCTTTCCGCGCCATTTTCGATGACTTGCTTAGATTGTTGTAGTTAACTTATATATAAATCTTTCCTAGTGGAAAAATTTAAATAATTTTTGCAAAATAACAGATATTTGTTAAATGTTTACTTAATAAAAGAATTTTGGAACATTCAATAAAAGGATGATTTCTGAATATTTATTCAAACGTATCTTGACACGTATGTGTGAAGGTCGAGAGTCGATACTCTGTTTTGATTGGCTTTTTTTAATTTTTGCCCAGTAAAACCGAAGGCATCGACGATGATCATCACACGGAGGAAGGTGATGAGTGAGTCTCACCAGGTCGCATCGACATCGACTTGCCCACTTGAAAAAACGAAAAAGTGTAAAGATCTTCCTGGAATCTGCCTTCTTACTGGCCTCTACGTCCTTCAGGTAACCTACACTTAGGATTAGTACCTACTCAAACCTCGTAACTTTCATTTGTGTGTGATGTCCACACATTTCTCTCTTATTAATTCAGTGTGACTGCTTTCAGTTTAGAGAACGCTAAAGATTTGCTTGTTGCGTCAGCTTTCTATTTGTTTAATTTTGTTTTGTTGGTTTTCAACGAAACAGCAATTAGCTCGAAGAACAAGTATAAAAACTCCCCCTTACTAATTGACGAGGTACTTGCGCTTTGATTATTTAGGCTAATGTTCCATTTCGTATCCCATGGTTCTGCACAAACATTATTCATGCATTTTTCAAACACCGGACAAGTTGGCTTTTCAAACTCAAACGCTGCCATTTTGTTGCTTCCTATCTGTCTTGCTTTTATGCTGCAGGGTATTCCTCTGGGTTTGGCAGCATCCATCCCCTATCTTCTACAATCAGATGCTCACACCGCCAATTACCGCTACCAGGCCATCTTCTCCTGGGTGTTTTGGCCTTTCTCATTAAAGCTCGCTTGGGCTCCGATAGTTGATTCCCTTTACGTAAAGCGCTTCGGTCGTCGGAAGACCTGGTTAATTCCCATCCAGTACGCAATCGGCATAGATCTGTTTGTGCTGGCAAGTCGGGTAGACAACTGGCTCGGTAGAGAGGAGGGACATTTCTGGGGACCCCTTGGAGTGTCTGGCGATGTACAAATCTGGGGGCTAACCTGTGCATTTTTCGGACTTACTCTTCTTGCTGCAACTCAGGATATTATTGTCGATGGCTGGGCACTCACAATGCTTTCCAAGTACGTGTTTTCCATCTGCCTACGTTGCGGTGAAAGTTTCTTCAATGGCCGATCCCATCGTACAAGACGTCTTAAGTATTCTGCTAATAAACCCATTTCGTCAGGATAGTTATAAGGTAGTAGATGCTTTGCAGACGGCGTACTTGCTTTGAACTAAGCCGACGCCAAAGATGGTCTCATCCTCAGCTTCTTGTTGCCTTGCTTCCTTAGGGTTGAATTCTGCGATTCCGCAAAATTGCTAATTCCCTTCTAGAGAGAATGTGGGCTGGGCGTCGACTTGCAACTCCGTGGGTCAGACTCTTGGCTACATCCTCGGATTCATAGTCTTCCTCGCCTTGGAGTCTCCCGACGTCTGCAACAGCTACCTGCGTTCGACTCCTGTGCCAGGCAAGGGGATCGTCAGCTTCTCTGGTGAGTGTCTCTTCGTCTAGAATTGACATTTACTCCTCGTCTGGATTTGCATGTAACGTGACTATGTAACCACCTAGTGTTTTTTAATGCCATACTTGTCTCCGTTTGTTAGGCTTAAATCCAGTCCACACGATGCGTCTCGCTTCTTCCAAGTTACGCCAAATCCTCTCAACAAATGTAATCATGCACACACGTGAAAGTGCGCACTTGAGCCAACGTTGTAGCACCATTTATTTACTTTGATCAGTATTGCTTCTACCTGTTTGGATCAAATGGAATTGCCTGTAGAAGTTTACAATAATCTATCGAATGATTGTCCGTTTGCGTTTTCACAATTGCAGACACTTATTCGGTTGGTGTAAATATCACCTACAAAGGCTTGAACCAGTCTGTCTTATGCGTAGAATAGAGATGTCGCAGTTTCCAAAGCTCCATCCGGGATGTTCAACAAGTCCATTCAAGATAAACTGTCAGTCTTTACCTGGTGTAGTACAAAACTGCGAATTTTCGGCTAGTAAGCACAAGCGTAGTTGGTGCTTGTGATGTGGACCAACACCCAGAATGCATCTGTCACAAGCGATTTAAAGCACTTTGTCCTGGCGATTTGCAATTCAAATTTCGACCCTCAGAAGTTGATGTGGACGCCATCGATGCCACAAATTACTGTTATTGTTCACTCAGGATAAATCAATAACCGACCCTTCTCTGCAAAGCATTCATCCGCGGACCGTCGATAACGAAGTCTGTTGGAAATAAAATGCGTATGGTCTAGGCTTACTGGACCAGATTAAACCACACCGACTGCTAAATGTCACCAAACTAGGTCACGTCATAATACGTGTTTGATGGGATTCCAGAGGTGACGTGTATTCCGAGCTGTTTCCATGTAGCCGCCTGATCAGTTCATTTGTCTACCTTCGACAACTAATTAAACTGATTTAATAAAACCACCAATGTTAAGTAATTTCACTGGATTCGTGTTGTGCCGTAAAAACTCAAGTCTGCACAGACCTTACCTCGAAACAGATTATATTGGGGGTTAATTGCTTAGTGGTATTGTGTTTGTAAGGTGTCAGCCCCCTTTTATTGAATAACGAACGGTTTTCACACGAAATAAAAGCGCACGTATTTTCCTATCAAATGTGAAATTGGGATGGGTCTTTCTCTTCCGACGTCCTGTCATTACCTTTGGCATGGAGACGTTTCTGTCACCTCCACATGGAGATATTTGCCTTCGAACAGCACTGCGCCATTCTACGCGCGAAAGGCTGGTTTTCTAGGCTAAATAAGCCTTGTTTGAGACGATTTCGACGACTGTAGAAATGGCACAAATGACTGTTGGTCCACGCTCTACGCTGCTTACTGTTTGTGGGTGTGCGCTTGGATTGTCGCCGTCGTCGTCTAATGCTTCTTCAAACAGCCATTGGAGAATGGTGCACACTAACTCTTCCCTCTCGACTTCTCCTTGAGGTTTCCTCTACTTCTGCGGAGGCGTGTTCTTGACGGCGACCACGTTAGTTGCCATCTTCAAGTCCGAGGCACCGATGGAGCCACGGGACCAAGAGCGCTCCCACTCCACCACCCCCACCTCCTCCCTCTCCCTCAGCACGGAGAACCGCCTTGTCGAAATCGACTCCCTCGACACCTCTCCCATCCAGGCGAACGACGAGCTCGAGATTGCGCTAAACGAGAACAGGGTCTCGGGGTCGAGGCAGGACAGCGGTGGGGCTGAAAGGGAGCGAGTTCTCTCCCTGTGGCAGGCTTATCGATTGATGCTGCGCATCTTGAGGCTTCGACCTGTTCTCCGCTACATTGTCTTTGTCTTCCTGATCAAGGTGAGTATTTATCAATTTAAGCAGCTTACCTTGAATTTGTCGTTCCCTTCGCTTTGTGGCATTCCCCTGTAAACTATGCCCAATTTGTCGAAATCTTGGTCATATGCACGTAAACAACAGCAGATGTGTGTTCTAGAAACGATAGGCATCATTTAGCAGCACTCCGCTTATAACACCAAGTACGCTCGATCTAGATTGATCTTGCTCAAAGCATTGCTTGCTGTCCGCCAGTGGAAATGTGTCACGGTTTCCAGGACACCAAGATAATTTCATATAGGCAACTTACCGAGATCCTCCGACATGTGTTCACAGAACCCCTGGACGTGACCTTTCCGCTTCTCTTCCTAGTTTGTATTCTCTGCGTCGGATAGTGTGTTCGGTCTGAAGGTGCTAGAGCACGGCGTCACAAAGGAGCGCCTGGCGCTCATTGGCTCGGCAATGCTGCCGCTGCAGGCGCTGCTGCCTTTCCTCATCACGCACTGGAGCAACGGACCCCGTCCTCTTGGGGCCTACCTCAACGCCGCAATTCCAAGGTTGGTGCATTTACGCTCCGTGTCTCTCCCTCTCTTGAAGCCAAAGTACCTCTGTCATGGCAACGCGTCTTATCGTCTGTGCTTGCAGGGTTGTTGTGGCGACAACGTCCGTGGTGATTGTGCACTACATAGACTACTTCCGCACCACCGTGGAACCCCCTCCAGACTCTCCACCGGGGACTTCGCCGACCTACATCTTCTCGGCCTCCTTCTACATTGTCCTGATTGCCCATCTTGCCGTCTACGCCTTCTTCTCTCACACCATGTTCGTCTGTCAAATGGCCTATCACGCGAAGGTCTCAGATCCCAGCATCGGCGGCACCTACATGACTCTCCTCAATACGGCTGCGAATTTGGGTCAGTTGGTTGAGACACCACACCAGTCGTCGTCGCGTTGTTTTACTGAACTGGTTAGGTCATCGAGCGGCAAATTTGAATTTCGGTTGCTCAATTGGTGGAGCCTATGTGACATCACTTCAGTATACTATGCAGCGTCAACCTTATTTAATGTTTAAAACTCACCGATTATTGGTACTTGTGGTTCGTATTTCCGTTGCCTTGAACACCCACAGACCCTACCCCGCACAGTTTCTCTTAACGATTTGCTTCTGTTGCAGCCGCCAGCCTGCCGTCAACTCTGATGCTCTTCCTGGTCGATCCACTGACATTCCGAACTTGCGAGAATCCAGTAGAGGACAAGGTAATCTCCGTGGTGAACCACACCGCCAAGGTCGCCTCCACGGTGCAGCTTCAACAACTCGCCGACCACTTCATCGCCCACAATGCCACCTGCAAAGGTCTCCAAGGAGTTGAGGTAAGCTGTCGGACCCCCTAACTCCGATTATGCTCCCCTTTTTTCATCATTTTCGAAGATGAATCTCGAATATGGTGGTGTGCCCGGCCTTGTATGCTTCAGTGAGCGTGTTGTCGACTTGTCGACGCTAAATTTACGTTGAGCCACCGTGTAGAACGTAGGTTCGATTCCAGCCGATTCCTATTGGTTAACAAACCGACCACTCAGAGAACGAGACACGATGTCAGTTTGTGAGGGCAGGTGGTTTCGGTAAACCCCCGTTCTCGTACTGCGTTGATGAATGCGAGACAGCCTTAATGACAATCGGTTTGTAAGCGGTTAATCTCAACCATCGATCCCCCAACACATACTTTTTTTTGCAAATAAGTAGTGTTGGACTTTGCCCACGTGGTCCTAACTAGCGTTTGTTCCTCGCCATGCTAAAATAACAGAGGCAAAACAAGATGGTTGATTAATTGCGACAACCATCGCACAAAACAAACATGTTGTCTGACTGCCTACGCCAGTGCAGAGACCTCGTTTGGGTCAATTAAGAGCACGTGGGGTGCCCATTTTCATGCCATCTCAACACGCCTTCAGTTGTTTGTCCCCAAATTGGTTGCCTTAACATCTGTTGTGCCGCTGATAATCCCCTGAATTAAAGGTCACAAGACTGTTCCAAATCGAGACTCGATCAAATTCACAGGTAGGTCAGCTCTCGTGGCATGATTTTAGTTTATTGAGTCCCTGCATCCACTCAGGCTCGACTTTTAAATACCAGATGTCCCTCGGTTTCTTCTTCCCCTTCTCACTCTCTCTTTGGACAGAATGTCACAAGGGAGCATCCCATTGGCTCGTTAGGTTCTTGCACAAGTTCTAACCAATCATCTTGTCCCTTCGACTTTCCAGGCATGTAGATCAGTCGGTGGCACGTGTCGCACCATCGTGGAAGGCTTCTACATCGAGATGGGCTTCTGTCTGGTGGTTGGCCTAGTCGCCTACTTCACGGTTCTCCGACGAATGGCCGCATCTCTCGACACCCTGCCCCTCTCCGCGTACCGCCACTTGGGTCGGAAGACCTCTCGTTCGAACTGCGAGCCTGTGAACCAATAGCGCCTGCCCATGTCTTCTTGGTTCTTTGCCTTTCTTTTTTACAACCCACACACATTCCTTCGCCGTTGTTTTACTTAATGTGCACACGTGGTTGTGCGTCTGGGTGCGCTGTCTTATCGTTATCTTATCTATTTGTTGCCCATTTCTACAAAGGTCTGGTCGTGTAAACGGTGGTGATAACTGTGACCAGAACCGTTGTTGTGTTGGTAAAGAGGCCTGGGTTTTACCTGTCATTCCTGTGTATTATAATGAAGCCAACTGCCTTTGGTTGCGGATCATTACTTGTTAACGTCTAGACCTGAACGCCTGTTGTGGCCCTGCGCATATTCGAATCCATAATTCCGACAATCGGAGGTTTAGTTCACCTGGCGCCGTCTGATTTGGAGGGATGAAGTGTCGCTCGTAGGGTCCAGCTCACGCCTGCACTGAACTAGGAGTCAGCACAACTCCTGCAGCTACTTCATTCGCAGTGGAGGTTGAGGTGATGAAAAGTCTTTGCTCGGATGCTGTAGTTTTTTCTTCGCAAAAAATTGTCAAGATGGAGTCGAGATTGTGCCGTTCGGAGGTGCTGTGGGCTCGTCTGGTCTGCAGACGACGCCATTGCAGCTGATTCCGAAATTACCGCCCATGGTTATTGTTTATCTCATTAGCTGCCTCCACAAACCAACGAGGTGACGTCTGTGGGCGACGTTTACAAGTTGACTTTAGCGCCCATGTTTGTCCCGCAGTGTCGCCAGTCATCGCGTAAACAGGCGGCTGTGCAGGCTCATTCGGATATGGCCGGGTTTTTTTCACTGAATTGAGGGTTCCGCTGCTAGAAACAAGAAGGAGATACCGTTGTGCAGACAAGGCTGTTAGTGTTGATTTATTGTCAAGGCGTGCATTTTCGGAGTGATTTCTTTAAAGCCAAGGAATAGGCTGAATCTCACGTAGGCTTATGTGAATTTCCGGTTTGAACTGATTAACAGAGCGCACTAGTCGCAAGCGACCTCAAACATTACGGTCCTGGTGATCCAGGTTGGAGCGAGATTGGAAAATAGATCTGTATTTCAAAGTACACCTGAATCCCACTGGAAAGAGGCATCACCGATGACGGAAGATGCCAGTTCCTCAGCTTGATCAAAAACATGTTCGTGATGTACCAGTACAAACCACGCAGTAGATTGTAAAATGTCACGAGACAGGACGAAACCGAAATTACCACCTTGCCAAGAAGGCCAAATGTTGGAGTGACATGGGGTCATTTGTTGGGCAGTGCAGAGGTGTAGATTCGTGGTCTGTCGAGGATTAGCTCCAGCCCTCGTTCCTTCGGACTACCTATATTGACTCGGCTTGTGAACCTGGTCAATTCACGACTACCACCACCACCTCGCATCCCTTGCCTGTCCGCTTCACTCATCTAACCATTTAGCCATTTGCACTTGTTCAATTTCACCCTGACTGTTCAGATCAGCAACTCTTATTGGTCGGACACGACTCCGAACACTCCGACAGCAGCGAAATGGGGCTTGGCCACCTGACACACCGTTGTGTCTCCTCCGTCTCTGCTCTTCCCAATCATCTCTGTGGCGTATCTGGACTTGAGGTTTGTTGGAAACCACATGCCGAGGCCGTCTGCACTGTGAATACGTCTGCATGAGCGGATCTATCGGCCTAGTTAACGTTTGGAGCCCCGTCGTGGTGACAAGTCGGGTCGATGTGTGCGCCACCCTCAATGTACACAATGAGACGAATTAACCACGCCATAGGTGGCTTGCGCTGCTGTACACTGCCAGTTTATTATGCGCACTCTAAATGATGCACATCAATTCGAAGGCTTTCCTGGCATGGCGATTGACGCCTCAAATGCGCTTCGCGTCTTCGCTGACGCGTCATTGGGAATTGTCTTTGAACAATTGCCGTCGACAGTCAGACACGGTTAGCCTGGTACACAACACTGCGGTGTGGATGCGCCTACCTCCTTGCGGCTGATTTCCAATCATGTTACGATTGTAGAATACCCGAGCTCTAGTATGAAGAAGACTGGTACAACAGAACAGGCTTTATTGACCAATCACAGGCCAGAACCACACATGTCAGGCGCAGTCCATCCGAGTCCACCACGCAGTCTACGCTCCTCATCGGAGGATTGGCAGAGGCCAGTGTGGTCCAATATGTCTGTGCCATTATACGCCACCACACGTTTCATGTTAGTTAAATCCGCATTGCGAACGCAGCTTGTGTGGCAAGGCGATTGAATGAAATAATCACAGTTTTTCTCTTGGACACGCCCCAGCAGGTCGAAATGGTAAACAGTTCGTGATAAAGGGTCTGTAGAAGTAATAGCTAACAATTTGGACTCTCATTGGCCTTGTGTAACCAACACCGTCGTCACATCGATTCCACGTGGTTGTTCGGTTCAGTAAACGTCAAATTACATGGTTTTTTGTGGTGCATCTATATGGTTGGTAGACGAGAATCAACACAATCCAATGGTGTCTTGTCATGGTCATCCATGCCTTGATTGATCCCTGCAAACAAGACATAATTTCATCACTCAAATAGCCAATCAGATTTCACCAGACACTAATCAGTTGTACTTCAGAAAAATGGAACATCGAAGCCTTTTAAGTGACCAATCGCAATGTTTCCACCGGTCACAAAGCCAATTTTGCTTCAATGAGACCATCGCCTGGCTATTTATAATGAGACATTAGCCAATCAATGGATGTCATTGAATAGTTGAACGAATTCAGTAGACGATATCATGACGTCTTCATTTGTTCCAAAATCATGCTACTTGTGTTTAGTCAGTAACCTGTTTTATCAGTGAAAACAAAGCTCTCCGCTTCGGTGAAGTTTGTTGACTAAGCTGTGTCGTGTTACTCCGAACTGGACAGCTCAGCCAATCCACTGTCTTTGGGCGTTTAATTGACCACCTGCGTAGAAGATCGGTGGCCAATTAGAAACAAGGAAGGGTGGAGAATAACTCTGATTGGTTAGCATGCCGTCATCTGTTGTATTTGTCTTCTTCATACAATGGCTAGGGCACTCTACACTACGGCTCTTTTGTTGCACGATGGCGAAGGTGTAGGCCAGTCCAGGCGCTATCATTGGTGTCCATTAAGTGGACTGTTTCCACAAATGCCACCAATAGCATTAATGACAATGATCAAGAAATGTAATATGAGACGGAGTGGCCAATTAGAAGTCAGTGAAACCAAGTGACCAATAATAATCGATGACGCTTCTATTTCGGTCATTGGTAGAGCTTATCGTTAGCCCAGTCTACACCAAGGAAACAAGATTAGCGGCTTCAAATGGGTGTTTTAGTTGTGGACTTTTGAACTAATTTAAAATTTTAAAGTTCACTAATAAAAGTACTTCATTTTTATCCTGAAAGTAAAGTTTCATTAATTGTGAAACGAGCGAGTTCCCACGATTTCATTCACAGCTGATTAAATGAGATTCACTTCGAAAAACACGCCAATAATTTAGAACACTGCGACACCCTCAGCGTCTTCTTCTAAAGGTCGAATCAAGGTCGCTTTAGCCAAGCAAGTTTCAAGGTCACCTCTCGCGTGATATGCACGTGGCGTCGTTGTGTAGACGTGTTGTTTGCCAAGTTGTTCAAGGTCAGCACGTGACTGGTTTATTAAAAAAAAAACAAACGAACGCACGTTTTGTGTTAAAGTAGAGTACAATGCCCTTGTTTAATTCTTTATCACCTGAAACCTAAGAAGCGACCAGCTGCAAGCGAATCACATGCGGCGTCTAAATTTGGAAAAACACAAGTGGCGACACTGTAGAGGTCATATTTCAAGCAGAAATGTCATTGTTGTGGTAGCTGTCCTATCTTTAAGCATCAAAGCTATTTAACACTAACTAACTGCGCTGCAGGCTTGTTTGTGACCTCATTATCCCTAAAATTAATGATTGAATTTTCGCCAAAATATTCAGAAGGAGTTGTCGGAATTATCGCGGATGTTGGCACGTCGGTACTGTATACATTCAAGTCCGTTGGGGCACAACATCCCCACGGAACAATCAAGCACGTTTTTGTGAACGGAGTGGCACTTTGGCATCCAATGATTAATGACATTTTTGCTCATTGGTTGAAATGCACCTTCATGGAAGTGTGGAAATTTTGACGGTATTAAATTCCGTCTCTGGTGAGACTGTCGTAGCTCACTGGATAGCAATGAGTCATTAAAATCGATAATGCTGACATTCTACAACACGACCTTCGAATAGACGCCGGGTAGGACAGATTGTGATTGGTCATTTGAAATTTGATATCCAATCCTAAGTTCTCCTGGTTTACCCTCGAACGACCGCGACCGTTGGGGATCGAACTTTCAGACTAGTAACTAGGCATGCTATTCTGTTGATGATTTCCATGGAAATCCACTAAATTGTATACTTTTGAGTCGGCCACTCCACAACCCCACCTGGGAATGCCGTCCGTTTAAATTGAACGTCTATTTTTTTTATGACATCATTCGGTATTGCGATTTTAAAGCCATTTTTATTCAATTTCAATAATTAACTGCGATTGTTTCCTTCGAAATTATCCACGTCCCAAGAATTCCTTGTGTGGTTCAACGTGATTTGATTCCACTCAAAATTTTGAATGGTGCATTAATTTGCTTAACTGAAACTAATTGGTTCTACAATTTTAAGGTCAGCATCCTCAGCCCATCATCTCCTGTTCTCCTGCGATTCTGGATGTCCAGCGGATTAAGTTAGGACTCCTTTCGTGTCATTGTTCCGTTGCCATGGTAACGACTCCCTACGTCCAGCAATAAAACTGCGCGTGCATTCGATGCCACCCCACTTGATTTGAGCCTACTTTGACCACTCAAATCCACCAGCCCCTGTCTGATTGGCGGAACACTTCGAAAGTTCCTGGCACCATGCCACACAGACCGCCTGTCGACTGTCGACAGGGCCTAGATAAAATGCACACGCGTTAGTTCCTGTTTGAGCTACCAAAATGCTAGCCGTTTTGGCAATCAGCACTGACCGCCAGTGAGAATCAAGCCAGCGGTGAAGACAAATTAGGTATGGTTGGCGTCATTTGTCACTAATGACATGCAGAAATAGCAGTTAGACCGACCGACACTCAATCTCGGGAATAACGAATGGTTGGGAAGTCAGAGACAGACAGTTGGAAACTCGCGATGTCTAAACGTAAGGCACTGCATGATTTAATTTTCGGAAAAATCAAATAATTTCCACGTAGTTAACAGAATACGATATACCCATGACATTGACTGTAATCCTGGCCTGTTGTGTGGATACTGCATTTAATTAAATGGGAAACCTCGAAAAAAACTTACTAGCTCTACCACTACCCCTGAAAATGAAATTAACAACTTGGAAATCAAAGTGCATGACGTTGTAATGCCGTACTAGGGCGCAGCCATATTGGATCGCACCGAGCTCAGCCATCAAGCAGTGTTTGTGCGTTTTTAATGGCCTCCGAAGTACAAGACGAGTGTGCATAGAAGTAAACTGCACACACCCACCAGCATGTCAACCGACTCGGTTGACCAATCGTGTGACCGTGTACACAGAAAGTCGGCTGTAGCCAATCAGAAGAGACGTCGGAGCTGATTTGTGCAACCAATGATCATAAATGAACTCTGTTCGGTTTTGTAACATCTAAGTTCCCCAATGTTTAACTCGAGTCATTGATTGAAAGCCACAAAAGAGAACCTGTTTTGCGTTACACCCAAAAAGACCGTTTCAAAATTTCATCGACAGTTATCCAGTGCCTAAGGGTTTTTTGTGAGATTAATTTCGAATTTTTCCTACTACATTGTTTTCTAATGCGAGAATGTTAAGATTGGATTGTATCACACACAAAATTGATGTCAGATCTTTCCTAGGAGGTAATTTCCCACTGATCTGAAATTGTTAAACTTGTTTAATTTTTTTTACATTTTCCTCATTTAACTTTGTTTAAATTGAGGACGTTCTGTGGCGCCATATTTCTTAAAATCGATGAGTTGCGAGCAAATCGTACACCGACGCTTAATCATTCAAATTGGACGTTAATAAATGCAAGCGACTAGAACAACGAGAATGTAGTGGGGGAACAATAGAAAGTAGCCTAATTTATTTTTTAACTGGAAAAATCTTCGTATTTTAAATTTTCACGCAGTGTGGTCTAAACTGTTCCAAGGCAATGACAAGAAATTGGAAAAATGTAACGTATTCACTGACGTAGAATTGAGAAAAGAACAGTCAAACATGAAGTTAAATTGCTTCGAATTTACGAAACACCTATTTGGAAAACTGGATGGCTGCCAAATGTTTGACTCTTATTCTGTGTTTGAATATTCCTTTATCATCAACTCGTAATTTTCAAAGCCAACCAACTATCTGGATCGTCATATAAATAATTCTAAAGACTACCTTATAATGGTGTAATTTTGCACGCCAATCTATGCCAATCGCACACTGACAGCCAAAATAGTTGAAAATCAATAAAAAAATCGATACGACAGACGCTGAACAGTAATGCAATAATTTACGTTTTAACCTCCTCACTGTAAGCCAATAAGAAGCATTCTCGAGCAGTCCTCGTGTCAAGACAATTGTTTCCCTCATTGCTAATTCAGGAATTCGATAAATGCATGCGCATGATTTGACCTTGATTTGGTGGGCATGATGAGTCATTAGCACCTGGTGGTAACCCAATGGCAGTAGTTTTTCATTTCAAAATTCCGGTGTCTTTTGAGACAAATTAGCCGTAAACAGGTTTGTTTTAAATGGCATGAGCATTCACAGTGCCGAAGCTCTGAGCGCAGCGTCGCTGAGCAGGTTCATCCAAGTCACAACATTTGCACTCTTGTCAAGGCTACAATTGTGGCTAGGACTCCTTTGGCACAAAAAGGCCTAAGTACTCTAGAAGGTGCCAATTTAGAGGGATCAAGGAAGCAAAAAAGCACAACCTAACTAAGCGACATTCCTGGTGCAAGTGGAAACATTCATTCGAAATTGCATCACTGGCTCGCCACCTCTGCCAAATCAGCTGATTGTGCCAAATGTTAATCACTGTTGGCACGCTTAATGTTCACCGCATTGTCGCACGCAGGTAGCCCTTGCCTATATGAGTGCTTGAGTGAAACGGTGGCGGCTCAAACTCACCTCATGCATCTCACTTAAAAGCCTACCACAGCAGGCTTGATGGCTGGTGAACAAAAAAAACTAGTTTTTAAATGTCTCAAAATCGAGGCTACACGTTATTGGTCACTTAGAACACGGTTCCGAAGGGATATGCAGGTGGAGAAGACCATCGCCAGGATCCACTAGTTAACCAACATCGCATTGTTGACCATGGTTTTGTTTTACTGCACTAATGTTTAATGGTGTAGTTTGATTTGTGAAGGACCGCCCTTGTCGGTGATTTCAATTATCACGGTTCTAATAGTCCCCATTGTCGCCAAAGGGGGTTAACTTAGGCCCTGTCCGCTTCCGGCAAAGGGTTTTTTTATCTGAAAGATCACATATTCGCGCGAGAACTTCTACAAATTCGGGAAACCCGTGTTCCATCTCAAATAGGCAGAGTTCTGTTGTCTCGTGACCACCACATTACTTTAGCCGTAACAACCGAATGCCACTCATTACTTATGCGGTCACAACAACCTTCCAGCTGTGCTCGTAAATCACTATAGTCATCAACAGCATCATCATCATCATCATCGCTATCATCCACAACGCAGGAGATTTGACTCGCGACCAATATTCGCTGAACCGACATTGACATAATGTTTTCATTGTGGCACCGATTTGATCCAATGTCTTACCTCAAGTTCAGTGTCATTCAAAATTCAGGAAGCGAAGTTTAAGGAATCTTGAAAATACTCATTACTCTTCTCAGTTTTCCTCTCCACGTGGCCTCCAATTTTATTGTTTGCATTCGGCTCCATTATCTGACAACAATTGTTGTGCAATGGAGCTACACGTGTCAATCTTCCCAAGGATCGAATTGAGCGAACAAACAGCTGGATGCCTTCGTCGTAAATCCCGCTTTTGGCGTGAATTTAACTGCACGGCTAGAATCGCCTTATTTTTGTGCAGCTTCATTGCACCTAAAAACACCGATTTCGGTTGTGTAGTGCGTTTCTATTGGATAGTAAGGCAAATGAATCCAATAATTTTGAAAGCAAACGGCAATTTCCCCTGCGTGTGTGTGTGAGTGAATGAGCAGGTGGGCGAGATTAAGGCGGGACGATGAGAAAACCTCCATGGTTTAACCTATTGCGCTGCATCACCAGCTGGTCAAGTGGTCTAACTGTCCTGACCAATCACAGACCAACGGTCACGCCGGTTATTGAACATGGGCGCGTCGCGCGTTGGCCGGCTATTTGCACGACAGAGGTGAAAGCCAATCAGCAACTGACATTCATTCAATGCAGTGCTATTATGGCTACGCGGCGCACGCTATAGAGGCGAGCACCACGCGTGCACTTACACGCGCACACGCACGCGCAAACACGATTAAACAGTTGACGTTGGAACTTGCGAAACGAACACGTATAGTTAAGGCTAGTTTCATTTCCTACTTGACTACCACTACCGCGGGCAATGCTACAGCCCGAATTGGAGTCGAGTCTACATCACTTAGCTGAAATTGTCCCCTCAATTGAGTGGTGGGAGTTTCACCTACCCGGGACTTGTCCTGGCGACCACATCTGGATCCGCCTGCCAGGGGAGATCGAAGTGGCCTGTGGAAAGCCTTCAAACCTTCCGGAATACTCGGATTTCCTTGGACGTCTCAACATCCTACACTGGGGAGCTGAGTGCCGAATTCTCGGCCAAAGGATTGCCCCGAGTACTTTCGATCAGGTGATTTGTATCGAACGAGTGGCCTCCCGACCTCCAAAACTCATCTGGGTTGATGTCAACCAGGAGGCGGTTGTGTCCTTCCAGAAAGCAGTCGGAGTTGTTGACGTGTCTCGTCCAACGAAGGCACCAGTTGGAAGTAAGGTCTGGGGCTGGTTGTCCGGTGAACTGGTTGTGCGCGCTATGCCACTTCTAGTCGACACAGAGCGCTACTTCTTCCCCGTCGATTTTTCCTGCCAGGATGATATCGCTGTCCTCCTTTCTACAAGCGATTTCCGGAGTCCCAAGTGCGACAGAAGAACGCCTACCTCAGATGAACACTCTCTGCCTCCACCAAAACTCATTGTCATCAATCCACAGATGAATGTGACCTACCCCTGTGACCTTGATCCTCTTAGCACTGCTCAACTAGGATCTTCTTTGGGGGTAAGTTAAACCACCAGGGTATAACTTCGATCTGAAGTGATCTATGGATTTATGGATTAGTGGTATTAATCGGTTGGGCTCATTTTTTTAAATGCTAGTTCGGTTCATCGATTTTCCCGCTTTGGTAAATGCAATAATTAAAACAAATATGCAAGAAGCAGCTACAACTTGTGTGAAAATTTCTAAGAAACGTAATTTTTCTTTGATCTGCCCGGGTGATTTTCCACGGAGGCTTGAAAGCTTTTCAAATTCAGCAATATTTTGACAAGCCGATTTTGTGTGTGGGTAATGGACTTCATCAGTGTCATTCTACAAAAACCAATAATTTCTTGAGTTCTTTTTAATGTATTCTGTATTGGTTGAGTGTCAGACGATTGGTCGACTTCATGATGACTATGTCGAAGCTGGCATCTGTGTTGGCTAGCGTTAATCGGATCCGGCCACCGAATCCACGAACTCGCTGGTTGCCACTATCATCAAGATATCTGGAAGATTACGCCTCCATTTTCAGCACACGAAAACGGTTTCTCAAGCAGGTGGTGACGGCCTTCCAACACACTGCGGAGTTGTCAAAGAAGAATGCAAAAGATTCAATTCCAACGCGTTAACTGACGATCAATTCGAGCCTCCGATCAACGAGGAATCTGACCTGTCCGCACAATCTGGCTAATTCGCAGCATGACATTGCCTCGGCCGAGTCAAGGAGCCACGGAAGCATCGAAGTTCGTGTGTCGGAATCGTCTGTTTCTTCGCGGTCCAACTCAATAACCAATCCTCAAAAAAGGCCACATGCTTCCAGAAGGAACCAACCAACCTTAAACTGGAAAGCATCTCCGCTATCCACTCCAAATTGTGTCAAAAAGAAGAAGAAGAAGCCTCATCGATCTCTCATGAGATCCTTTTCTCCCTTCCAACCCGACAACCTAATTTCTTTATGTTTGTCGTTGACTTTTTGCGACGACTTCGACACATTGTCCAACACGAGTTGCTATTAGAACGCTTTGAAATTGTTGGCATCTGTCGAACTTCTGCAACATTCAAAAATCAGCCCATGAACCATGGTCGGGAATATTTGAACTCATATCGACAGCTCAGAGACGAACATTATCTCAATCTGATTCACCCAATGACGAGTTATTTACTAAAGTGCAATTACCAACACCTCTACGGCATATCAGTCTGGATTCGAACAAATGTGATTTTCCTGCATCCACTTAAACACGTTCTAGAAGACGTATACACGAGTTTTGAACCGGTCATTGTCGAATCGCCGTTTTGGAATACACTTGCTAAATAATAAAAAGCATTATTTAGTTTGGCCTTTTGTAATCGAAAATGCCGCCTAACTGACGAATTCATTCATTCGAAGGTGGAATATTTGCTCGGTATAAGCCGACGGATTTTAAACACACGACCTAGGGTCTAGTCATACATGAATTAGAAGCAGTGATTTTGCAAATATTATCAACACAAGCCAGTGACGTTCTTGTTTTTGGCACACCGACACCTGTGACGATGTATGTCTTTCAGGGGGCATTGGTTCTGTCGATACTACTGCCTCGATATCACATTTCCGCACCAATCAGTGTGGGCTGACTTATCTGAAAATGAGGATTTCGTCTAAGCGTGACTGTTCTTTCCCAGTAGGCTGTCGTCTGAAGTCCTTAAAGTAGTTGATGAGTTATTCACCTCGGATTGGTCGGTCTGGTTGATGATGGGAACGTTTTTTGTTCTCTAAACGAACTAGACAGTACGTCGCCCGGATAATCAACGCGAATTTTACGACGTTTTCGTAACCATCGGATTGGTGGGCTGTGCTAGGCTGTGTACTTTTTGGCTTGTCGACCTTTGGCACCCGCTCGTGTTGTTATCCAGGCGGAAGCGCATTATTTAACGCTCAATTAAAACAAACTTACTTCACTCTTCATCTTTTAGTAACTAAATGCATGCTCTGTAAAATATTACTCCGAGCCTTGTAAAAGTTAAGTTACACCATCATTTTGTTTGCCAATGCATGAATTTTGCGTGTTGTCAAATGAACGAAGTCCTAACAGACAACACATTTTTTTGTTTTAATGCCTCTGTGATTAATACTCAGCTCAACATTATACTGATATGCTAAAACAGATTGTTAAGTGGCGGGAGGCGTTAACCAATAGGATGCCTCCATTCGCGGATCGATAGCCTAGATTACTAAGACGTGGCGATGCAAGCGACCGACAACACGTCTGTTTTACCTCAAAGCCTCGAAGTCATTTACCACTTAGACAAGGTGTCAATATAGGAACACAGTACCGATGACGAATTTGCCGCAAACTAACGCTAGTTATAACCAAGCGTTTATCTCGATTGTACTTTTAATGCCTAGCCAGTTACAAACGCATGCCACAAATCCAGTGTCTAATCGCTTGTGTGATCAGCGCGCGCTTAGTTTAAACAGGCTAGTGTCACCTTGTCCGAAATCCAGTCTTAGTCACCCTCCTAACGTGGACTAAGTCATGCGGGTTGACCTCGTTGTTAATTCGGCTAGCCAACATTGTCGGCTCTGTATGTGTGCTACCCTAGTTTGTTTACAAAGACGTGAATCAGAGTTGCTAGTGGCAACCACCAGAAAAATTCCTCCACAAGACAGATTACCTAGTAGATTTGTGTTAGCATTCATTTGTAACGTGTTGTCATGTTTGCCTTTGATGGGCTGAATCGGATGTGATGAATAAAAAAACAAATAGAATGGGTTTTTGGCTTTTTTTAATTATTGTGGTAACGAAGCTAGAGCGGTTTCCCTGTCCTGTTTTTTGATTGGCCGAAATACCTTCGCCACTTTGGCTTATTATAATCGCGGTTGCTTCATCGAAAATATTAGTACTATAAAGGAATTTTATGCATAAATAACCATCCTCTCGATCAGGTCATCAGTCATCGCGGAAAACACCTATTCCACTTCAGGTCCACCTGTGGGCTAAATTGTACGCGACTTTCGAGCCACCTGTCGCTGATTGGCTGTCGTCAAATCGCGCGCGCCCTACAACAGCTGATTAGGCGTTTGCGCACTTGGCATGCAGGCGGCGCGGGTTATGTGAATTTGATAATACGCACGGCTGCACATGAGCCGTATTGAAATTCCTCCTTAAATAAAGTCTTCGTTAAGCTCTACGAGAAGGGAACAAGTTACCGAAGTGTACGTTTCAGGTTGAAAATGGAATGTGCAATTGTGAATTTTAAAAGATTCAACCGGAATTGGTGGATGAAGTGAAATATGCGTAAATTAAGTGTAGAGAATGCGTTAGGTGTTTTGTGGAAATTGTCATAAATTACACCATAATTGAAAGCTGTCTAGACGACCAACTCTCCCCGACGATGGCTAATCGATGCCAGGACGTCTGTGAAGGTAGATTTCGTCGTTAAAGCAGAAGTGTACCGACTACATATTCTGTAAACTGGCACGCTGCCTGTTTAATTATGTTTAGCGATCATGGCTGGGTGGACAGCTGCCTTGCTTATCTCAACCAAACTCTAATCAAGTGACTCGGACAAGGGAAGATGAGTGTTCTCGCTGTTGACCGCTCGCATTCACCAATGTGGGCCGCGTTTCCGCGTCATTCCACTGTCTGTGTCTGGTCTCCTAGCTACCCCGTCCTGGGCGATTGTTATCACCCCCCTCCCCCCAAAAAAAATCGCACGTGACTCACTACCGCGGCTGCGGCCAGGCCAAAACCTAAGTCGGTTTAAGTTAGTCCTAGGCAGTAGATATTCAAGTCAACCGGGGCGCTTGCAGTGAGTCGTTGCACCATACTTCCGGTGTACTTCTAAGTCAAACCAACGCACACAGAATGCGAATTTCATGCTGAGCACGTCGATGTAGAGGCCTCTGACTCAGTAACTCCGATTGCTCAGCGTGTTCTGTGTCTTAGGCGGCGGGGTTTCTGACGGACAGCGTTTGACGCCCTGGGGGTTATAACTGTTGGTTTCCATTCGCTTTCATAACACTGCACATTACCTATCTCCTCTTTTTTTCTAGACTGGGGTCGTGATTCAAGACGAGGAGGATGTTGACGGCATCCAAGACGACGAGCTCGCGTTCCCATGTTCCATGATGGACGAGGAGGCGACCAAAAGAGACACCAAGCTCTCAGAGACCCTGGTGGAGATTGAAGACTTCATGCAACGCGTCGTCTGGACCATTCAACAGAACGACGCGGGTGGAAACAGTGCTCGCGATCCCAACATCGAGAGCCAACGATGTCGGATCGCCATGCAACTTGAGGAGATGCGGAGCAGTGAAGGCGTAAGTTACTGCTTAATTGTGCGCTTCATTGCTCTTGGAGCCTTATACAAAACGTTCATTCAATCCCCCGAGTATTTTCCCAAATTTTTCTTGATTACAATCGGAAACACCGTCGTTTCTGGGTGGTCCAATGATTTGTCCATTCTAAGGTGTCACCAAATCGCATTTCTATCCATTTCACTTCCACAAGACTTAATCTGCGAGAGCGCGGAGTAAGTATTGGTGTAAGTCAGTCAAGGCTTCACACAGAAGTCTAAATATAGTGTGAGATTTTCATTACGCCACTGCGATGCCTCATAATCTATTTTTTGTGTGAATTAATTTGCACAGACTTGCTCTTCGAGCCTAAAGTTATGCACTTAATGAAGAAATATTGTCGTGGTTTTTCGCGGTTTTGAAATGGTCGAACCCAGGGTCTCAGCACACCGAACGACAAGCCAACGTGAGTCACATAACCTCTCAGACTAGCAGTGTTTACGTTGGCATTTCATGCGAATTTCAAGAAGGATAAAATTCTTCCAAAGCACGGGACTCAACTTGTTGTGTTCTTGGTGCCGAAGTTGTGTCTTTGGAAACGTGTGATCATTGGTACAAACGTTTTGGAAGTGGCGATTGCGATGGACGTGACCAGCCGCGCCCCGAATAGCCTCGAAAGTTTGCAGATGCGGAATCGCAAGCTCTGCTGGATGAAGACTCAACGCAAACGCAACTAGAGCTTGCAGCAGCCCAAGTAGGAGTCACACAAACAGTTATATCTTAAGCGTTTACATCACCGAATGGGAAAAATTCAAAACATGGAAATTGGGTCCCCCCACATGTGTTGACCAAACACAATCGCCTAGGTCAACGTTTGAACACATGGCTATCTCTTCTTGCCCACCGGCAACAAGCAGAGAATGGACGTCTTTTGGAACATTGTGACAAATGATGAAAAGTACACCTATTGTAGGAATCCCAGATGTAAAAAGTCGTGGGTAGATCCCGAGCAATGCAGCATATCGACGCCGAAACAGGACATTTACTAGAAGAAAGTTCTCCCGTGTACGTGGTGGTGGGTTGAAATGGAGGGTGTACTTTATTGCGAGCTCTTGGAAACTAGTCAGACGGTGGCTGCGGGGCGCCACAGCCGACAATTAAATACGCTGAGCGAAGAACGTGATCAGAAGGGTTCATTTACTGGGCAAGGAAGCATGCAAGTCATACTTCTGCTGCTGCTGATGATGCTGATGCTAATGCTGCATGACAACGCTCGACCACCTCACCTTCCTCGCGCGACTCAGTAAACCCTCTTAGAATTGGGATGGGTAGTTCTCCCACACGCGGCATATTCACCAGACCTGGCCCCATCCGACTACCACTTGTTCTCGACAATGCAGAAGCGGCACGCCTTAGTGGATGAACAGTTCCAAAAACGCTGGACGGTGTGTGTAAATTCTTCGATGACTTTATTGTCAGGACGGCATTCGTTTGTTACCTGAGGCTGGCTCAAGGCCGCAGACAATGATTGACAATATTTTCAAGGTCATGTTTGCTGCTCTCCGTTTGTTTGTATAAAGTTAATTTGTTGAAAAATCTGCAAAAATCAAGTCATACTTTCAATCAAATGCGTTTAAGTTAAAGTCTGGAATGAGGTTCAAACTAGAACAGCTTGAATTTACCTCCAGCGCTGATTTTACTTCTTGTTTGATCTAGGAAAGTCAATCCCATGGACCCAATTCATCCAACCAACCGCTGTCACTCCTCAACAAGTTCTTCCAAATTCTCTCCTCCCTCCTGAAAATCGGTGATCTTGTGGAACAGGTGAGTGGGTCTGGAATTCCATTCATTCGAAACTTACGACACTCCTGTGAAAGTTACACCTCTTACAGGTGTAACTTTGTTCAGTTTGTAAATGTTCAGTTTTTTTTACACCTCTTACAGGTGAAAAAAACTGGCGTTACAGCCATTCACGCATGCACAAACGAGGTGTGCGCACAGGTTTGAGTCATGCGTGGTAACTTGAGTGCTACCTTCAATCGCCGACACTTGTTCGGTCTTGCAGGCACGCTTATCTCAGTCGAATTTACCTGTGTAGACCTGAACTTTACTGCGTGAAGATGTGATTGGTTCTTGGGTTCCTTACACAAAACCGATATCTACTTTCGACAAAATCTGGCGACACACACATGCACCATGAGTCGAACTTCAGGCCATTGGTTCGAATGAGCCAATTACAGCCATCATCTAGACAGTAATCTGAGGGTTAGGTCAAAGCTCTTAAACCTGGCTGAGCGCTGATTGGTGCTTTGCCTTTTGGGAGTCAGTCTATTAGTTAGAAGTGATGCAATTGTGTAGACATTAATTTGATCTGCCGTCAACTACATATGGTTTCCTTCTGTAAATAAATTATGCTTCATTATCCCGTAAAATCATTTTCTTAGGATGTTAAGGTAGAAGTTACGTGGGAATCTGGTTGTAGCACAGTCGAACCAATCATAGAGCAGAATTCACTTAATGATTGGTGCTGATTGGTCGGGTGCTATTAGTGGGAGACCATTTCGAGTGTTCAGGTTCATTGCGTAGACGTGAATTTGACCTCCAGTAAACTACATGTGGTTTGCATGAGAGATTTGCGTCCGGTTGCAAGCTGTTTCCTACACTGTTTGTGAATTTCCAGCAGATTGGGTTGACCTTCAAACCGACGGCATTCGGTCATTGGCTCTGTCACGTGAGCGGAGAATGGAATTCAGGCCACAGCCACCTGTCATATTATTTGTTGCACACTCAATTAGGAGTGGTTGCTTATTATTAAATTCAGTAACATAAACCTACAATCTTTCGTTTTCATCCTCACAAATGTAGCTTCTAAATTTATTGTAATGGAGTCGTTTAAGCCCACTCACCACGTTTCTTTGACTTAATGTCACGTGGTACAACCGATTTCATTAGTGTTATCAGTGTTATGTTAGGGTGATTGTTTCGGCTGTGTTCGAAATAGCCAGGATAGGCGCTAACGGTATCGCAAGCAGATGCGAGGATCCAACTATTTTTCGTCTTTTATGATTGCTTTCGTCTGGTAATTTCAGAATTAGTTAAAATACGAACTATGGTAATTTGGACCAATTGTTGCCTCACACAACGTGGTCGTCGCCTATTGGTCGGTTCAAGGTAAGACCGAACCAAAAAATTTTTTTCACGAAATTTTGATTTTAGCAAAACAAAATCTCGCTGAACTTTCAGTGTATAAGAAAGACAGCGATTTTTGTGGTGGTACTTGTCTTTAAGGATTTTCATTGATAAAATCGATGGAGATATGCCGGTCAAAAAGGATTGGCTGTCGAGTGAATTATAACAAACTCGCCACGACGGTTTAAATATTAACGTCCACATTGTTAGAGTAGGCTTTGTTAAATTCCCTTTAGTTCATTTAGCTAAGGAAACACGATCATCATTCAGTGGATACATCTGGCACGTTAGTTTTGGTTGGCATTTTGTGGGATGGGATAAATTTCGGGAAATCTGGTTTAATCGAGTCTGTTATCGACCCTTTGTGGGACGTTAGCAGACACAAATCAGTCAGACCCAGTTATGGGAGCTGGCGGTGTGCCAGCTTTCTGACGCTACCTCCAGATGTGACGCAGCGCCTCGTTTCAATTGATGGCTCGATTGTCCTGTCGTAATAACTTTGCATTTGGCATAATAGATGTGATTCTCGTCCTTCAACTTGTAAATTGATATTTCAGAGAGCATTAAGTGCATTGTGTGAGATTTACAATGAGCGCGAAACCACCCCCTCACGCGGCGATGCAAATTTCTACCAGTGTCACACGATTTCACTAACTGCAAAGTGGATTGTTACTTATTGTTAGTAAAAAAAATCGATTTATGGAGCTTAGAACCTAGCTGCACTCTGGTCGTTTCTAAGTCCAAAACCAACGTCACCTTCCGTGCTGTTTAGGCCACTTTACAGGAGAAGGCAGATTATTCACACACCATGCGATTGGTCGAACTCCGACTGCCCGAACTGACCGCCTTGCAGAACGACCAATCAGAAGCGACCGCTGTTCGACTCGAGCGCGCGCGTCGAACGCTCAGACTGTTGCTTCGTATTCAGTCAACCGTGAAGTCTTTTACCAGCCCAAACGAAGCCACAACCGATCTGGAACCGTTGATTTCACGAGCCAATGATATCCTACAACACTGTCTCAAAGAAGAGGTGCTGAAAGAGGTAAAAATGGCGTAAATATTGGTTTGAGGTCAAACCAGTCTAGAGGTAGATTTCAACCAGAACAAAATTTTGAACATCAATAGGTGATTAACTTAATTTATGAGGACTTAATTGCTTTTGTGAGGCTGCCATTTACCAGAAGGTAGGCCTAATGTGCAAGCAAACAGTCGTGCACGTTTGGGATAACTTTTTAATACGTCAAAAAATATTCCTCAAGGTCACGTCTACATGTAACTGTAAGCTTAATTTTGATTTCCGATGTAAATATCGTTCACAAGAAAGCGAAGGAAACAGAGAGTGACAGGAGACTTGGTTTACTTAAAATGACTACTAACATTTCCTTTTTTCAACTAGCTTAATGCAGAACCTGTTATGGACGTTTGTGCAGATGACGTCGAGATAATCGCGGCGTTTTTGGAAACAATTAAAGACTACCTAGCTAGCATTCCACGGTCTTTGTATTGTAATGCAGAAGAAACCTCAACACCTCTGGAGAGGCTTGCGGAGATCCGTTCGCGCCTCTGCGAGGAAATGGCATTTCTAAAGGTACTGAATTATTAAAGGAAATTGGAAGAAAACCAATGAAATCTCGTGTTCTTTAAACCGGACTTATTTTTTTTAGAGAACCTGTTCGTGGATCCCCTGTCTACTAAGTAAAGAAGTTCAGGTAAAATTTCTTCTCCCATTAGAGATCCGATCAGACCTGAACGAGGTTTTCCGTCGTGCAGTCGATGCCTGCAAGCGATTGGAGGTGTTCTCACGGTTGGTGTGTGAGCATTCGGGTCTCCACATGCTCGCCGTCAGGCTAACCAGTAAGAACCATGCTGTCCATAACGAAACCGAAAACGCATCCGAATTACAACTCAGCGTTATTTTTATAGATATCCACAGTCGTTACCTAAGTGGCGAGCTATCTGGAACAGAAATATGTCGGTTAAAAGGCGACCTCGATCGTTGTGAAGCTGAGGTTGTCCTCGAAATCCTCTCTTGTGCTAAACAAAACCACGTCTTCCTCGACAGCGTCCTGTCCGGACTCCAGAAGGACATTACAGCAGCTCGACAAGCTCTAGACAACGTTAAACAAGTCCAAGAACCGCTTAGTCCAGACATAATGGAAAAATTCAACTCGTAAGTGGAACATGAATCCGCACATCTCATGTCAATTTCACAAAAGGCATGAGAACTCGTCAAATGTTTTACTCTTTTTTCAGCACTTCGTCCACATTTGAAGCCCTGCTGATTGGCTGGTTCCTCCAGAGCACCGCGTCACCAGATCCCCACCTTTCCCCTCTGGTTCAGAGGCTTGAAAAGGAGGTCTCCGCGTCTCTCCGAAACCCCACCTTCGCACAGCTCTGCGTTCCAGTGCTGGAGCAATTCTTCTCCTACATACCCTCTCCGAAGTATCCCGAGGCGAGCAGTCTGCATCACATTTTGTACATATTGGGTGATGTTGCTCGACGTCTTGATATTGCCGTTAAGCTCATCGAGCGGACGGCATTTCTGATCACATTTTCATCTTCAAAGCCCCTGCAGATCCTCAGATTTGCTTATCCACGCGCCAAGAAAGCTATTGATTTGTGTCTGAAGGCCCTGGAAGGGGTCGTTTTCGAAGTCGCTGAGTGGAGAACGCTCATCCTTCATACCAAAAACGTGGTAAGTGCCTTCTTGTAAAACGAAACATGCATACAGATCCATAAACGGAGAATAGTTTAACTAAATAGGCGTTTGCAGTTGCCAAAAGTGTAAACCTCCTTGTAACTTTTCTAGGACGTAGTTGACGGTGGGACTCAGGCAGTTGTTGAGGCTGTCAATTTTGCGATGGACGTTCTTTCACAAGAATCTCCCCACACCAGTTCGATCGGCTTCTACAACTGCCCTGATCTGCTCAACCAAACCCTCGCCTGTCTCGCCACGGCTTCCACTTCGCTGTTGTCGTTTCGCGAAGTGACTGATCAGTTTAAGAATGAAAAAACAGGTATCTTTGATCACACAAACGCACTGTTACAAGAAATAGTCGAAATCGATTGGCTGCTCGCGGACACACGCCTACAGACTGAATTCGAATTAGCCAATGAGATTGGTGGAGTTGAGGGCGGTGAAATTGAATCGAGCTGGAGCTCCAAAGCTGCGGAACTTTTGCAGCAAATCAAGCCAGCCAATAGAAGGGTGAGCAATCTATCTGCTATCGGTTGCAGTTTTATATAAGTAGTATAGTATTTAGAGCTAAAACAGATGCACGCGGACGCTAACTGCCAAGCCTTTGCCCTTCAGCGTCTGCTGAACATGCTGGAAGACCTAGAACGGAGTGCCTCGAAGCACAGCCGGTCACTTCTTGCTCTGCTCGATGCCTCGTGCACACCATCCGCCAGTTTCGAAGCTGCGCCGTTGTTGGACTACATCGTAGCCAGAGCCGAGAGTTTTGTTTCTACTGAAGGTGATTTGAGGGCCTATCCGAAGAGGCATCATCGAGAGAACGGAGGTGGAAAGTCCGTGGAAGTCAACGGACTCCAACCGAATGTGAGTTCTGGATTCTGTGCTTAGGGAAAGTGCATTCTGAAGGAGCGAATTCTCGCCGATCCCACGGTCACAACAATGCCAGTGAAACTTTCCCACGGTACTCCTGTGCTAAGCGTGAAATTCCCTGTTAAAGGTAGAGAATTAGCGGAAGTGGCAGTTGTCTTTGTTGAGTTGTGTTCACGGTTTGTTAAATAACATTTAAACAAACAATATGGTTGGGTTTGTGTTTGAGGGTGCTAGCACTGAATCTTTTTCAGGGCCATCAACAGCAAAATTCACCCTCGACAGAAGCCTTCTACGCGGCAGTGAGGAACCTCAGCAACGAATTCACCCAAATTCGCGAAAACTGGACTAGGAATCCTGACAGGTTGAAATTGAAAGTAAGCTGGATAAGCTAGTTTGCTTGTTTTCACGTCTTTTGGCCGGTCTCTGGTCTGGTCTCGAAGTCCATGTCCAGTCCATTTCCATTGCTGTTGAATGTGATTCCACAAGCGACGTCACATCAGACACTAATTGGTGTTTCTGCGGCTCTAGGAGGTCCTGCGTCGAAGTGAGATCCTAGTGGAAACTGGCCGTCAAAGCATCCTATCGTCAAGGCGGACGACCTTCTGTCAGCGGATCGTGTTTTCCCATTGGCCGGAAGCGCTTAAAATGTTGATTCTGGCGGAAGAAGCACGACACGAGGTAGCAGTGCTCAAGACATCGAATTCTCCCTTGTCGAAGGTAGTCCACTGCGCTCTTGACTTCCAGACAGTCGTCGCGCATCACCTGATGCCTTCAAATCTTGGCCTTGAGGAGGTACTGGGGTCTGAGCAACCGGTAAATTTCAAAATTCTCGGCCGTTTTTTTCAGTTTCCTTTGTAATGTGGAAAAATGCTTCAATTCACATATCTGCCATCATTTTCAGAGCGTCGAAGACGCATTTAAGACGTTGCAGAAGGCTGTTGAAGCGGTCACATGTGGTGAATCGCGAAATTCCCCCACAGAAACCAATGGTTTGTCTGCGGATGAATCCTGGCTCTTCCAGATCGGAATCTCGCGAAGGAAAAATGAGGCTGCGGCCAAAATTTGGCAATTTTGTTCTGACCTCTATTCTCTTTTGTGAGTTTCTGTTATTGTGGCAGGCTAGGCGTCTAACAAGTTGTGACAATATTCTTAAAAATTTGCAGCCAAGACTACAATTCTCAGGTGGTGTCTCAAGTAGACAGTTTGGCGTCTCCTTCAATGGCTGCGATTAGAAAGGATTTAACCCGCCTCGACTTGCAGCTCACCGAATTGGCCCGTGGAAATGCCTCATTAGACACGCTCGAGGTGAATCCATCCCTTCTGGCACCATAAAATACTGTCTACTTTAACAGACATAAGTAGTAATATTTTATTGTAGGACTGCAGTCGCCAAATTGTTGATCTTGAGCGGCTCCTTCAAAAAGCGCGCGAAACCGCAAGAATTCTGTTCACATGCATCGCCACAGATTCAAGGTCATTGCCACGGGCATCGCCAGCTAATCCGCTTGACGTGGATGAGTTGTATAAGCGGGCTGTCAAGTTGGTGCGTGACTACCAGTCCAGCGAAATCGGCTGTCAACTTGTCGACGCATGGCAACACCTTCAGTTAATCGCGGATAAACTGGGTCGCCTTCAGGCGGGGTATGCTGCCTTTCAAATTGAGTGATTGCCAATTTAAAAAAAAACAGTCTGCTTGAATGCCGAAGTCGACAGAAATGCAATTCAAATTATCTTAATTTTTGCTTGCATTTAGATTACCACTAACGGACTCACTCCCTGATGTAAGTTCCATTTGCTAGATTGAAAAAAATATTCTACTGAAAATCTGAAAGTAGCGTGTATTTACAGACAGAGCCGGCGTTTGAGGAGTCGCCGATGCCGTCCAGCAGCGATTTCTACTGCGACGAGGTCTCCAGTGCGTCGCTCGCGCGCAGACGTGGATGGAGCCTTCTGGAGGTTCTTGGATCACACGATTGTCTCTACCCTGGTTGTCGTCGCAAGAGCGCCACGAATCACAATGAACGCACCATCGTAAGTTTGCAGTAAAAGATGTTTTTTCCAATTCTGACATGTTTGGCAAACACCCACTTTGTGATAAATCACGTGAGGTTGGGCCAAGGTGAACTGATGAAATGACCTGGTGAACACAGCCGATGACTCACTCGTCAGGCGCGGTGTGACAGTGTGGCGTGATGCCGCGCGCTTTAAAAGTACACTTTTAACAGTGAGGATTAGCTGTGTGCTTGAACCAATGAGAGACGAGTCACAGGGGCCAATCATCTTCCTCCAATCCTGTTCGGACAGGCTTCTAGTGTTAAGCCACGTTGGGTAGGTTCAGGCCACATTAAACACTGTCTTAATTGTGAATTAATTGGTTTTAGACGAATAGCACACTGCTTTCAGAGCTTCAACAGTTCTACGATCTCTTGTTTACGGAGTTCAATGAATGCGTTATGAATATACCTGAGCACGTTCTCACGTCTACCAGTGTGGAAGCTACCAATGGCGAAATGACCTTGATGAATCTGCGCGAGGAATGGCACAAGGACAAAGGTCTTTCGAGTCTCTACCACACGCTTCGACGTCGTGTGGAAGAAGACGTCAGCGGAGACGCAGGCGTCAAGAACACCTTCATTCACATTCAGACCCTATGGGGAGATGTTGATGCAAAGAAAGGCTGCATCACCTCTGATCGTCTAGCCACTGTATCTTCTTGGTTGCTTGAAGTTCAACGCCAACTAGAGAAAGAGATTCTTCCACGTCTTCAGAGCGTGTGGAAGTTCTCCGATGCTTTTACTCCTCTCTCCACCGTCGAAGAGTGCGTCTACAAAATGAGTGAGATCACGGAAGACTCGGAGTCTCTGGCGCGTCTGGGATTACTCAGCGAGAATCGAGCAGCATCCGTCAATCGGGCACTTCGAACCGGATGGTTCAGCGTGCGTGAATTCCTAGTTGAGAGGTGCGTCAAGTCGGCGGTGCATGAAGACCTCTGCGGAAGGTACTTCACCCTGATAGACGACTACATTCGACTGTCCGCGGGACTTGGATTCGTCAACGACAGCCTCGTGGATGCCCACACCAAATTGTGCAACCAGTTTCTGCTGCGAGGCAGTCAGAGACGCACCCACGACGTGGGACACAGCAAACTCTGCTCCACGCGTAGATCGCTTCGCTCGCTGTTCTTGCCATCTTGGCTCACGGAGAAGTATCGCATGGTGAACGCGCGGCCGCCTGTCGCGGTGACACTTCATTCCCTTCCCGACGTCTCCACCGGCAGCTACCCCACTCTCTGCCATCCCGAACTCGCCTTCCACAGTCCGGTGTGCGCGTCGCTCCAGTCGCGCTGCTGGACGTCCACGCCTGACGTGCGAGTTGTTCCAGCCAATCACGATGGTTGCAGCCATCGCAGGCGAGCAGAGAATAGCTTTTCAGAGGTGGAGGATGCAAGCGCGCTGGCGTCGCCTCAGATGCTCCTTGAGTTCTCCTTTTCCCCACGAATCACGAAGGCACCACACTGGCCGCAGCTGAGCGCTTCGCAGCTGTCCTTCTCGGCCATGGCGTCAGAAGATGGCAAAGTGGAAATTGACGAGCACGGAATCCCCAGTCTGGAAGGCACGAAATGCGAGAAGCAAGTTCTCCTTGATGCATTGCTGGATGATGCTGAGAAACCAAGTGAGCTGATGAAGGACGTCTCACTTCTTCTGTCGCAACTCCGGGCCCACGGAATACAAGCGCTCGACGTGGAACAAGCTCAAGATGACGAGAGTGTAAGTCCTTCTATTTGACATACTAATCTCGTGAGTCTACTTAAGTCTGTTTCAGTAGAATAATGATGTGACACTGAATTTTAGGCACCGGCACTTCTCGAACCCAATGAATCCTCAAACAGCATTAGCACATCACTTGGCCAGAATGAGAGTATTCAAGAAACAGGCTTGGAGATCAACAAAGCGGCAAATCGAGAGATCAATAAAGTCGCTTTTGTTTCCTCTAGGGTGAGCAAATTTCACTTTCTAAAATAACCAAGTGTTTAACTGGGCTGCCCAGGCTGCATACCTAAAATCTCCCTCGATTTGTTTGGTTTTAGAAACTATCACATCGTGTCCTGGGTAAATTTTCCCCAATTTCACTATCGCAGGCTACTTACATTTTGCTAGTAACATATACATTTGCAAGCTTAAAATACACTTTGATTAAACAAAGTACGATCCACAAGTAAATATATGGCTGATAAACAATGGACAGCGCCGGAACGTCGAATGATCGCAATATTAAAAATAATTTTTGCAATTTTATTGATTATTCTAAGAACGTATTGCCGTGTGAGTCCGATGTGCCGGACACCACCAAAAGACAAATCTTCAACCCAAAATATGCTACTTAAATATTCAAAATAGAGATGTTTTTTGATTTCAGAAATACAGGACCACATCTCCGATTTCTTGGTGCACTATCTATTTACCAACCGCTGAGAACGTCGAACCGCCAATGCACCTCGAATCAACGACTGAGTCAAATATCTGCCGCATTGAGAGCTCTCCAGTTACCCCCCAGCGGGAGTTCTGTGCCCCAGCGGTCTGCTCTGCACTCCCCGACGATGACAACCAATCACAATTGGCCTGGAATGGCGGGAAAATTGTAAGCCTTTTCTGTTCCTCTTAAACCAATGAGAGACTAGCAAGGAAACTCGCTTTTTGTCAACCGTAATCAATAGCCACTGACATCAGATCTACTCGTGAGCACGCCTCACTGACGCCTGTTCGATCCAAGATTCGCGTGAGTAGTTGATGTTGTGGAAGTTACCATCACTGCCTTTGCAGGTCACGGAGGAGAAAGGCAGAGGCATCGAGCAAAGTCAGGGGAACTACTTCGAGGCTGGAATGCCAGACAAAGACGATCCCGGCACTTCTGACTGGCTGGGCTACCAGCAGGAGGCCCACATTCAAGAACTAATAAACGAGTACATGGACGGTGACGACGACACTTCCCTGACTGAGGCGGAAAGTGCTTCGTCAGCCACTGGACCCTCAGTACTGGTATGGTTCGACGTTTTGACAAGAAATTCGTCTGTTTTTATCATCGATTGGTGTAAGATAGCGTTGAGACGGGATCAACATGCAGTGGACCCTCGATTCTTGTAGTTAAACTGCTTTTTAACACATGGGGTAGGCATGTATATAAATACCTTGGACATCCCCTACAACCAATGAAGTAGCTCACTCAACGCAACGATTAGCCAATGGGATGACGACTTGACAAAGTGCGCGGTGTATTTGAATGCTAGTCCGTTATGTCGAAGGCTGGATCCTAAGACATGCCCCATCCCACAAAATCCACATCGCACCTTCTCTCCTACCAGGTTTCAAAGAACCAAAGCGGAACCTCTGCATCGTTTGAAGAGTCTGGTTTGGGTGATGACGTGTCTTCGGGAAGGGATTATGGCGAATCCAACCTGATGGTGGTAGGTGTCGTCATTACCTTCTGTTCTCACCCAGCCGAAACAGATCACATTAATTAAAACGCAATATTTGTCCCCCCCTAGGTGAACCAAGCCAACTTCCCGAGCCAGTTTAACAGACCTCCTTCTGATTTTCATGGAGACGAGGTAATGATGTCGTAGCATGACTCAGCAGTGGTCTATACTAGACACTGGACCTTACTAGTTTGGGTAGGATAAGTAAAATTATGTAAGCTGAAAACTGACCAATCGCGGTGATTCAAGCTCCCGATCTCCTTTGATATGATTGGCTCTCTCTAAAGGTCAATTAGATACTGACCACATAATTTCTGGAACAAGCAGATGACCAAGATAGACTAAATAAGATGGTAGGTGGAGTGAGTTATGCAATTTCTGCCACTACAATAAGATTATTTACCGAAATGTTCTTTCACTTCCAGGTCACACGACAGGCTAACTTACCCGCGGGCACTTCGATCGAGTGGGGATGCCCTCAGTCCCTTGTGCTCTCTGAGGCCGCAAATACCGACTTTGTAGGTTGAAAAGGCCGCCTTATTGTCTACGTCCTTGTCTTGCTTTAATTTACCATGCGAACGGCGGTCCGTGCGTTCATATCTGAACGCTAATTTATTATTCCTCTTTGGCAGAACACGTATAGGTATTTACTGATATTCTAAGCTGTCTTTGTGCACTTCTCAATAAGACTGGTCTTTTTGCGATTAGCAAACAAAAATTCTCTACTATAGACAACCGCTCATCTATTGGTTCAGTCGCCTCAACCGCCTCAGTAGCTCAATATGGGAGATTTCCGGCCCTGGTTAACACAATTTTTAATTTTTTTAATTTTGAATGATTAAGTCACGCAACTACATGTTTAGTAAAAAGTAGCGAGATGGGGCGGATGGTCATCTACCCAAAACCAATGAGCGCAGCCACAATTTTTTCCCCTCATTTTCATTGGTCAACTGTCACCTTGTAGAATTTCGATTGGATGGTCAGTGCCGTGGAGGAACAGAGGAACAACGCGAGGAAGGACGAAGCTTCGCGGATTTGGAAACAGTGTGATTCATCCTCCAGGGTTCTAACCTTGACGTGTGATGGCGGTATAGAAGAAATAATCCTTCCGAAAACCATCTTTGGAAGTAATTCCAGTCCAGCTCTGGGTGACAACCAGACAGTCGGTAAAAGTCCAATTGACGATGACTTCGCTCCAGAATTGAGGCTCGAGCAGGTATGCATTTTTAGCAAAATAAGTAGAATAAAAACCAGAGTAATGGTCTGCTAAAAATAAAAAAATCCATATTATTTTAAGGCTGAAACGAAATTTCTGGAGAAACCTAGGCCAGGAGAACAGCGTGGAAGCGATAGACAGAAGACGCCAAGCAAAACATCGGACTTGATTAGCGTAACGCAAGACGAAATGAAAGCAGAGCATAGACCAGATGGCAGTTATCAAAAACTGGAAAAAAATAAGCAAAATGAAACCACGGAAGATCTTTCAAAGAATAAAGACATCTTGAACAAGGACGAGGAGATTACCCAAGTGAGGATAGGAGCGAGTAAAGAAGCCTCAGCGAGAGAAGATGGAAGAGGAATGACAGGGGAGAAGGATGAGGCGCCTCAGGTTGATGATAGTGAATGGTCGACGAAAAAAGGAAAGAGGAGGAAGAAAAAGACGCCAAAGACGAAGCAGAAGGCAAGATATGTGGAGGGGGAGGGAGAGGCAGCTAGTGATATGGATCTGGATGGCCTGGTGAGAACGGAAGTCCATGAGCTTGACGGACAGCAGAAGTCAGATGTTGGAGGTGTTTCGGTGAATGACTCGAGTGCCTTTACATTTGGACTTGACGAGGAGGTTGCGGTGGTGAATTTGGAAGAAGAGAAAGAGGTCGAAGAACCGCCGTCTGATGGAAGGAGCGCTCTGGAGGATCTGGTAGAAGAAGAGAATGAGGATTTTGGTGATTGGTCGACGACGATAGGAAAGAGCAAGAGGAAGCCAAGGCCGAAGCATGAGTCGGGATCTGTGGACAGTGAGGAAGAGGCAACACATGGCACTTCGGTGGAGAGTGAGAAGAGTGCGCCTGCGGATGAACTTGGCAAAGAGGAGGACGACACGTTGAATGCTGAAGAAGAGGTTGGTGAACCGCAATTTGAAGAGGAGTTCACTGTGGACGATTTGGTGGAGGTGAATGAACCCAAGGTGGAAGAGGAGAGGAAGGACAGTGAGTGGTCGACGAAGAGAATAAAGAGTAAGAAGAGGAGGAAGCCGAAGACAACGCAGAAGGCGGGATATTTAGAGAACGACGAAGACGTGGAACAAGTCCCCGTGGTGGAGAGTGTGACAGCTAGCAAAATGCCATCGGATGGTCTGTTGAGCACGAAGGCACACGAGTATGATGGAGAGAAGTTCGGTGTAGAGAATGATGCGGTGATGGCGTCGAATGCGTCTGCGTTTGGACTAGGTGAGGACGATTTTGTGGTGAATTTGAGGGAACAGGAGGACGTCGAAGAAGTGCCCTCTGGAGAAAGGAGCACTCTGAAAGATTCGGTGAAGGTGAATGAACCGGAGGTGGAAGAGGCGAGGGTGAAAATGGAAGCGGATGAGGAGGTTGACAAGCCGCAGTCTGGGCAGAAGAGCACTTTGGATGACCTAGCGGAGATGAATGAGCCAGAGGTTGCTAGGTTAAAGGAGGAATCGCCCAAGTCGAATGCTGCTGAATGGTGGACGATAACTGAAAAAAGCAAAATGACGAAGAACCCATGGACGAATCAGAATGCATTATCTGTGGAGAAGGAGGAAGAAGCTGCACAAGGCACTCTGGTCAAAAGTGTGTCTGTTGGCGGGATGGCATTCAGTGGAATGGTGGTAACGGAGGCCCAGGGGGTCGATGGAGGAGTGAGACTCGATGTTGCAGATGTACCTGCAGGTGGACTAGGCAAGGAGGATAACGCGATGGCGAATGTGGAATCGGAGAAAGTTGGTCAACTGCAGTCTGAAAAGAAGAGCACCCTGGAAGGTCTGGTGGCTGCGAACGAATCGCAGGTGGAAGGTGAGAATGACGAAATTCCCCTATCAGCTTGGAGTGAATTATCGACAGAGGCAGTCAGGATCAAGATGCCATTGAAGTCACGAACAAGGCAGCAGGCAGGATTTGTGGAAAGGGAGGAGGAAGCTTTAGAAAGCACTCCAGTGGAGAGTTTGACAGTTGGCGAAATGGCATTGGAAGGTCTGGTGGAAACGGAGGCCCAGGAGTTCGAAGGAGAAGACAGGTGCGATGTTGATGATGTGCCTCTGTCGAAGACAAGTGGGCCTGTGGGTGGAACAGGTGCGGAGGATACCACGATGGTGACTGTGAAAGTTGAGAAAGGGGTCGATTTAGACGAGGTTGGTGAATCACAGTCTGGAGAAAAGAGCACTCTGGACGATCTGTTAGAGGCGGATAAATCTGATCTAATGAAGACGAATGAATCTATGATGGAAGACTTGAAGGAGGAAGTACCTCAATCGGATTCCAGTGAATGGTCGACTAAGCGAGGAAAGAGGAAGAACAAGAAGAAGAGGCCGAAGACACAGCAGAAGGCGAGGTCTGTTGAGAGTGAGAAAGTGGCAGCACAACACACTCCGGAAGATGATGTGACAGCTAGTGAGATCGCAATTATTAAGTTGGATAGGGTGGAGGCTCGCAAGTTTGATGGAGAAGAGATCTCTGCTGGTACGCAGACGAGTGAATCTTCAGTTTGTGTAGGTGAGGGTGATAGAACGGTGGTGAATGTGGAAGAAGAAGAAGAGGTTGGTAAACCACAGTCTCCAGAGCAGAGAACTCTGGATGATCTAGTGGGAGTGAATGAATTAGAGGTTAAAGAGTACAAGGAGGCAATGCCTCAAGCAGATGTAAGTGAATGCTCTGCAAAGACTGTTTCTGTAATGCACGACGAAGATTCGCCACAATGCATTCCAGTGGAGATGGTATCCAATGAAATGATGCTGACGGGGACACACGAGAGACCTGATGTTGCTGAAGTGCCTCCATCCGAGACGAGTGCGTCAGCAGGTACAGTAGGTGGGGAGGGTCATGCGATTTCAGATGTAGACAAAGACGTTTATGAGGTAGAATTGAAAGAGTTTGATGAGCCTCTGTCTGGTGAAAAGACCACACTGGACGATCTGATGGAGACGAATCAGTCGGAGGTGGAAGAGGCGAGAGTTGAAGCGCCTCAATCCGATGCTAGTGAATGGTCGACGGGAACAGGAATGGGGAAGAAGAAGGAATCAATGACAAAGCTGAAGGAGGGATCTGTGGAGAGTGAAGAAGAAGCTGTTCTCGGCACTAAGGTGGAAAATGTGTTGACTAGCGAAATGACGTTTAATCAGATGGTTAGATCGGAACCCCACGAGTTCCATGGAATCGAGAGGCCTACTGATGATGATGCTTGGGTGACCCAACCGAATGCGTCTACGATTGCATTTGGCATAGTAAATAGGGCGATGATGAATATGGAAGAAAAGGCAGAAGTGGAATTAGAGGAAGCTCCTGGCACGTCGTCAGGAGAGAAAGACACTTTAGACGATCTGATAGACCCGACTAAATCCGAGGTGGAAGATGAGAATGCGGAATTCCCCCAAATGGATAGAAGTGAATGGTCTATGTGGAGAGAAAAGAGAAACTTGTCAAAAAAGCATGAAAGGAAGCACAAGGCAGTGTCTTTGGAAGGGGACGAAGAAGCGTTACAAGGCACTTTGGTAGACACTATGTCAGTTAGCGAGATGGTATTCGATGGAATGTTTGGAACGGAGGCGTACGAGGCTGATGGAGAAGTGAAGCTGCGTGCTGGCGATTTTAAGTTGACTGAGGCGAGGGTGTCTGCTGTTGGAGTAGGCGAGGAGGATAACAGGATGTTGAATGCGGAAGCGAAGGAGAATGTGGAAGTAGGGGAAGTTGGTGCACCGCAGTCTGAAAAGAAGAACCCACCTGACGATCAGGTGGCGGTGAATGAATCGGAGGTGGGAGAGGATCAAGAGGAAACGCCCCAATCGGATGGAGGTGAATGGTCGACAAAGAGAGGAAAGGGTAGAAAGACGAAGAAGCGGAGGACGAAGCAAGATGATGTTTTTGTGGACAATGACGTTAAAGCCGCACAAAACACTCTAATGGAGTTCGCGACAGCTAGCGAGATGACATCGGATTGTCCGATGGAAACAGAGGCCCCCGAGTTCCGTGGACAGCAGAAACCTGACGTAGAATACGTGGAGTTGACTGAAACGAGTGTGTGTGGAGTAAGAAATGACCAGGAAGATAATGAGGTGGTGAATGTGGAAGAAGAGGTTGGCGAGGTAGAATTGGAAGAGGTTAATGAACCCCCATCTGGAGGGAAGATTACTCTGGATGATCAGGTGGTGGTGGATGAATACGTGGTGGATGAGATGAAGGAGGAAATACCCCAAACGGATGTTGGTGAATGGTCGACGGTGACTGGAATGAGCAAGATTTCAAAAGAGCCAACGACAGAGGACAAGATAGTGCCTGTGGAGAGGGAGGAAGAGGCAGATCAAGGCCCTCCGATAGATTTTAGAGTTGGCGAGGAGCATAATGCAGTGGTAAATGTGGAAGAGGAGGAGAATGTGGAATCGGAGGAAGTTGGTCAACTGCAGTCTGAAAAGACGAGCACCCTGGAAGGTCTGGTGGCTGCGAACGAATCGCAGGTGGAAGGTGAGAATGACGAAATTCACCCACCAGCTTGGAGTGAATTATCAACAGAGGCAGTCATGATCAAGATGCCATTGAAGCCACGAACAAGGCAGAAGGCAGGATCTGTGGAAAGGGAGGAGGAAGCTTTAGAAAGCACTCCAGTGGAGAGTGTGATAGTTGGCGAGACGACATTGGAAGGCCTGGTGGAAACGGAGGCCCAGGAGTTCGAAGGAGAAGACAGGTGCGATGTTGATGATGTGCCTCTTTCGAAGAAAAGTGGGCCTGTAGGTAGAATAGATGAAGAGGATACCACGACGGCGAATGTGATAGTGGAGGACGAGCTGAAGGCGAGTGAATCTGTGATGGAAGACTTGAAAGAGGAAATTCGTCAGTCGGATTCCAGTGAATGGTCGACTAAGAGAGGAAGGAGGAAGAACAAGAAGAAGAGGCCGAAGACACAACAGAAGGTGAGATCTTTGGAAAGTGGGGAAGAGGCAGTACGAGGTACCCCGCTTGATGCTGCGACAACTAGCGAGATGGCGGTCGATGGATTGGTGTCAGAAGAGGGCCACAAATTAGATGCAACAGAGAGACACAATGTTCTCGAAGAAATGCAGGTGACCAAAAATATTGCTTCTCTCGTTGGAGTAGGCGAGAAGGAAAGTACGCTGGCGAATGTGGAAGCGGAGGAGGATAGTGGACTGCAGTCTCCAGAGCAGAGAACTCTGGATGATCTGGTTGGGACGAACGAATTGGCGGAGGAGGAGGAGAAGGAGGAAATATCCAAATCGGATGGAAGTGAATGGTCGACGAGAACGGGCACGAATAAGAAGAATCCAAGAACTCAACAGAAGGCTGGATCTGTTCGGTGTGCGGAAGAACCTGCACAAGACGCTACGGTGGCGCGGGAAACAGCTAGTCAGAAGGCATTTGATGGAATGGTTGGAACTGCAGCTCACGAGTTCGATGGAGAAGATAGACACGATGTTGATAAAATGCCTGTTTCCGAGACAAGTGCACATGTGGATGGAGTTGGTGAGGGAGAAGATGCGATGGCGTGTTTTGAAAAGAAGGCGGTGGAATCACATGAGATCGGTGAGCCACGATCTAGAGAGAAAAGAACGCCTCACGATACGGTGATTACGAATGAGTCGAAGGTGGATGTATCCCAGTCAGATGGTGGTGAATGGTTGAGAGGGAAAGGTAAGAGCAGGAAGAAAAAGAAGAATCCGGCGACGAGATTTGTGGAGAGTGCGGAAGAATCTGCCAAAAGCAGTATATTGTCTGGCGAGAGAGTATTCAATGAATTGGTGGGAATGCAGACTCGCGAATTCGTCAGAGGAGTGAGACAGGCTGTCGAAGATGCGCCTGTGTCCGAGACGAGAGATTCTGCGATTACATTTGATGAGGAGAGCAACACGATGGCAAATGTAAAAGAGGAGGAAAATGTGGAATTGGAGGAGGTTGGTGAACAGCAGTCAGAAGGAAAGATGACTCGGGACGACTTCGTGGTGGACGAAGTGAAAAAGGAAACGTTACAGTCAATTGAGAGTGAATTGTTGACGAGGGCTATGGTGAAAACGAAGCTATCTACGAAGCAAAAGCCATTATCTGTGGGGGGTGAGGAGGAAGCTTTCAAAGGCACTCTGCTGGAATGTGGGACAGCTGGAGATGTAGCATTGGATGGTCGTTTTAGAACCGACGCCCACGTGTTTGATGGTCCAGAGAGGCCCGATGTTTTTGAAGATATGCGAACGACCTCGTCGATTGAGTCTGCGTTAGGAGTTGACGAGGAGGATGATGTAGAAGAAAAGGATGAGATTAAAGTGCGGCGGTCCGGAGAGAAGAGCACTCTGGACGATCAGGTGGTGTCGAATGAACCGGAGTTGGAAGATACAAAGGAAGAAATGTCTCAATCGGATGGGAGTGAATGGCTGACGAAGAGAGGAAGGAGGAAGAGGAGTCCTAAAACACAACAGAAGGAGGGAGCTATGGAGATTGAAGAGGAAGCTATGGAAGGCGATCCAGTGATGAATGTGTCATTTAGCAAGATGTCGTTCGATGAAATTGTGATAACAGAGGCTCATCAGTTCGATGAACGAGAGAAGCAAATGACCGAGACGACTGCGTCTGCTGTTGGAGTTGGTGAGGAGGACAGTAAGATGACGGACGTCGAAGAAGAGGCTGGTGAACCCCTATCTGGAGGGAAGAGCACTTCGGACGCCCTGGTGGAAGCGAATGAACCGGAGGTGGAAGAGGCGAAGGAGGAGATGCCCCAATCGGAAGTTGTTGAAGGGTCGATGGGAAGAAGAAAGACTAGGAAGACGAAGAAGCCACGGAAAACGCAGAGGGCTGGATCTGGGGAAAACGACAAAGAAGTGGCACAAGACGCTCTGGTGGAGATAGTAACTGCTAGCAAGATGGCAATGAATGGCCTTGTGAGAAATGATTCCCCTGAGTTCCGCGGACAAGAGAGGCTTGATGTTGAATGTGTCCAGTTTACTGCGACTACAGCATTTGGAGGAATACTTGATCAGAAGAATAACGCGATGGTGAATGTGGAAGAGGTTGAGGAGGAAGTGGAATTGGAGAAGGAGGAAACGTCCCAAGGAAATGCAAGCGAAAGTTCCACGCTGGAAGGAGAGAACAAAGTTACGAGGAATCAGACGGCGGAATCTGTGGAGACTAATGATGAAATGATGAGAAGAGAGGCTCAAGAGTTCGATAGAGAAGAGAAACACGATGTGGATGATGTGTCTAAGTCCAAGACAAATACGCCCGATGGCGGCGTAGACGAGGAGGATAGTGCGATGTTGGATGAGGAGGAAGAAAAGGAGTTTGGTGAATCGGAGGCGGAAGAGAAGAATGAATCACCCCAATCGGATGTTGGTGCATGGTCGACGCGGATGGAAGAGAGTGGGAAGCAGCGGGCGAGATCTGTGGGGAGTGATGAAGAGGCTGCGCAAGGCACTCCGGTGGAGAATGAGTTCAATGGACAAGAGAGGTCCGATGTTGATGAGACGAAGGTAACCGAGTCGAGTGCGCTTGAGTTCGGACTTGGTGAGGAGGAGAATGAAATGGTGAATGTAGAAGAAGAGGTCGACGAGGTGGAGTCGGAAGAGGTTGGTGAACGCCATTCTGGAGAGAAGTGCAGTCTGGATGATCTGGTGGCGGCGAATGAACCGGAGGTGGTAAAGGCGAAGGTGGAAATGCCCCAATCGGATTGCAGTGAACGCTCAACGCGACGAGAAATGAGCACAGAGAAGAAGCCTAGGACAAGGCCTACCTTGGGAAATATGTCAAGGGTGAGTTCTCGATGGTTTTCTAATTTGACGTTGCTTTTTACGTGTACACGTGCTGATTTCTGTTTATTTCTTGTACTTCGTTGTCCTTTGGTAGTTTTTACAAATTTCTTTACTTAATAAATTTACTCCCATGTCAACTCTCCCATCATGTGTTGTAGCATCGACCCGTAGACCAGTAATTAGCGCCTTTCCACTTATTTACTCGAAACTGGGTATGACTTTGAATCCCCCATCTAAAACGAATTTTTTTTACTGTTTCGATATATATTCTACCGCTCACAAGGTTCATATCTTGCCCCTTTATCGATTGTACCCTTCAAATTCCATCTGGTTTTCTTAAAAACATCGTTTAGGTCTTCCAGGTAGTTTATGGAGCTTAGCGAGCCAAAATTCGATTTTTAAATCAGTATTTTAGCTACTTACATATTCTCAAGCATAGCCGATTTACTCAGCTTGAAATTGACTTCATTTAGGAGTCAACAGTCTCTAATTTTTTTTAAATTTCGCACGCGGGATTGTATCAGTGTCATTATAGTCAACAGGAAGTCCAGCTCAGAAGCCAGTAATCGATAATTTCACTCAAAACTAAATTTTGTTTTTTTTGTGGTTTATCGTCGTTCGAGAATATGCCTTAGCAGTACCCGTGAGCAAACTGTACTCAATTTCGATTATGTAGTTTTTTTATCGATTTTTAATAGATTTTTTTACTCTTTTGACTCCAACAACTTTGATCTGTAGCCGACAGCCTATGAACAAAAGCCAATATCTGTGTTGTTAGCGGAAATAGGTTCATCGATTTGTGGAGTTGGCTGCGCATGATATGTAAAGCACATTCGGACCTATCAATCCCATAATTTCTTTAAATTATGTTGGAGGATTTTGAATTGGTTTTATGTAGAGTGAAAGCCGCTAAAATTTCTAAGGATAGGAGCGCATAGCAGCAATTTTTAATCAATAAACTCCCATCGCAGTGTTAAATTGCTATAGCGTTCGGAACAGACACAAACGCTTGAACAGTGAGACGTCACTTGTTACGGGAGCGTGCGACTACACATGATTGGGATTCGACGAGATTTCTGAAGTGACACCTACTGCAACCTGATTGGCTAAGTCGCCCTTGTGTGTATGTGCTGGCGCACAAGATGAAGGAGTCTTGTCGCCTCATTAATTACTGATATCGACCGAAATTGCCCCATGTGGATGGAAACTGTCGCCAAAATTAGCTTCAATTCTATTGGTGTTTAGCCACTCTAATTATAGTAGTTAACACCAGCCAATCAAAAAACGACCACCATAGAAACGACCCAGCCATGTTCTGAGTTCGATGACAAAGCGAAGCTGGCCAATAACGATTCTCTCAAATATCCGCGTGCTCCAGCAATCAGTGATCAGATCTAGTTGTAGATGTATTCCAAGGTTAATAGAAAAAAGGAATTTTGGTGTCTTTTCTCTCAATCCACTGCTCCTCATAACGTTAAAACTTTCATTTTTTCGACTTTTTCGATAAATTCGATGCTCCGTCACCCTTTCGTGTCTGGTTTAACGTGTTGATGTTGCTACCCCTTGAGAAATCGTTAAACGGAATGCATTATGAGTTCACATTTCAAGTCGAACACTACATATCAATTTTGGGCCAAGTGCACGCTAATAAGTGCGCTTAATTTTCTTTCCGTTAACTAGATTTCCACACTTCAATTTGTAAATAAATAAATAGTTGGAGCAAAAAGCAGGCGAACATTCTTTTAACGCGACACTTCTAATTGGCGCAGCGCTAATTGGTTTTACTCTCTGCACCAATCACCACTCACGCGTGTATTTTCTCATGACGTGTGCATTGATTTAGTGCGGCTTAGAGGCGCGTAATCACGTTGATCACTTGCACACACGCTGTCGGGTGTGTACTTATCGTCAGGGCTATGCCATTTCACCATTGTGCTCTAATTAGGTGGTTGTCTCAGCCGGCACTTCTCAACCAATCAGCGCTCTCGGTGTCGTCACATCAGGTCTGATACGGGCATCTTGTGAGACGGCAAGGTCTGAGGACGACGTCAGCCCTCACCCTCTATCCAATTCAAGAGCCATTGACACGAGCGACAAGCACATGTCAGAAGAGGATTTACCGGAACTGATTGGCGCAGAATTTGTTAGTGATTCGTTCAATTTAGTTGATAATGCAATTGTCAAATTTCTATTTTGGCATCTCATACTTAAATTCTAATCTCTAGAGCTAGAAAATGGTTATGAAAACGTTTATTGTTTGTTAGCGTTTGAGGTGTTTGTAAATGCATTTATTGAGGCACTGATGATTGGTCATTTTACCTGCCATCGATCCGTATTCTATTGGTCGTCGCGTGCGTATTTATGTAGACCCAGAAAGTCAATTGTTTTTAGGGCTAAAATTACACTTTTGATGATACTAACTATAATGCAACATTTTTCTTCCAAACACGAGCAATATGGCGGATAAAATTCAATTAATCTTGGACAAACTAACGCCACAACTCTAATCTATTACAGGGACAAATTGCTCACAATTTTTTTATCTCAGTTTTTTTGTGTCACTGATAACTTTAATACTCGTTTGGGAGGTCAATAATTGATTTTTAAAACAAATCAATATTTGGCTTATGCCATGGAAGCTGAAGTTGGTGAGTGTAGAGGTGCTAGGTATTTTGGTGACTGTTTCCACGCCTCCACAAGCTGTTTGTGTATTTAAAGTTAACGCCGACTCATAAAATTGAATTGAGCTAGCAAAGCGCAACAAAATCTTGCTTCCTTAAAACATCTCAAGGTCACGTAAACACCAACATGTGGAAATCTCTTGAAACGTGGCTACAAAGTGGTCCTGACCGTCTCTCAATGTATATAGGCTAAACTAATCACTGTTGTGAAGATTATTGATCTCGCATGTTAAATTCGGGACAAATCTGCATACATAACGGCAGTCAATGTACGAATTTGATTGGCCAGTCTGACGTCTAACCAATCAGGTTGTTTTACACAAACTAGTGACTAAACAAATAAGACATACCAAACTGTGACCTTCAACTAAGTAACGATGTTAGTTGCTTTCGGTTAGTTAAATTTTGAAGTAGTCTGTTTAATGAAGTTTGATTTTTCTTCACAAAATCATGTTTTATATTTTATTGAGATTTCAAAGTCACTGATTTTGTTCTAGGTGAACCCGCGAGGTGCAGACGAAGAGGCGAACTCGTCTACCCTTTCAAGTCCCCTAACAATTCAACCAACTGAAGGCTACCAGACCGTCGAATCGACAACTTCGCCGGGAGAGGGCGACGATTCGTCTGGTTCTTCGCCCGAAATTATTCGTCACGAAGAAGTCGAATCGTACGTGCCCCCTCCGTCGTTTTCCCCAACACCACCACCACCGCCGCCATCATCATTCTCTCGATGTGCTCAAACCACCCAGACCGTCGTGTCTTCGCGACAGTTTTCCCCCATGTTGGAGATTGCGACCTGCCAAACAGCGGTATACGTTTAATTATTTGCGGCTGATGTCGTGGCTTGATGATGGAGTCACTCGCCTCGTCCATCAAATCGTCATTTAGAATTATCCAAAAAGTTGCTAATTTCAAGTCTTTTAATTAAACATTTACATATTGGGGTTAGTGGTTTCTTCGATTACTGATTTCATCGATTAGATCGATAAATGCGAGTCCTAAGCAGAGAAATCTGAATGATTAGTTGAGTTTTCATAAATATTGAACACCCTGGCGCAGGAACCAATCAGGTTTGCGGAACACGTCTGATAACGCAATATTGACCTATGCGCAAACCTGATTGGCTATTCTAGTGCTTAACCAATTAAATCGCTGTGCTAATCTTAGTAGCGTGGCTCTGCGAGTAAATTGGTAAGCATTTTTACCATGGACCACTTGAAAACCACAGCTCGAGTTGACAGCTTTGCCATGGGAAATGTTGGTGCTGAAACAGACGACGATTGTATCCGCGTTGATTGGGGTGACATTTTAAGCAATATGAAAGGGAAGATGAGTCAGCAGTCTGCCTCCTCAGAATGTTCATTCGATATCTTGGAAATGTCTTCTTGTGACAGTTGCGATGATGAAGATGATTATCGACTGGCCATCTATCCTACCACCTTCAAAAGGGCTCTTGTTAACACAAAATATGAAATAAATGCCGAATTAGATGTATATGCTTTTTTAAAACACAGACCGATCAAATTAATCTGGTTCCTGCGTTTATACACTTTCTTATCGATTTTAGGTGCCATCGCCGGTGTGTGGCTTGCGACAAGAACGGTAAATGAATTTCGATGTTACAGCCTCGGCTACTTAAACTTTAAAAATACCCAAAGTGTTTTAAATTATTTTTTTTAGAAAACCTGAACGTTCACGACCGCGACGTCTGCTACCGTTCCTATTGCTAATTGCCTTCTTACTCCTCCCTTTGCTTGTGCTTTTCTGTGTCATCTCACCGCACCTGTGTCCCCTTCCAGGCCCGTGTCCGGGCCTTACACTACGACAAATAATTAACTCCTACCTTAATCAATATCATCGATACAAACCACCGCCCAAATGACTTGTGACCTTCCTTTCCTCCACCTATTCCTCGTGTACAGCTCTCATCCTTATTCTTCGATTTTGATATTTTACTTACGCGTCTTCAAGGGTTTTGTATTTCTATTTGAAAATAACAACTTCAAATATATCTTATATTCCGATATCCGTCAATACCAGGAAGAGTTGGTTTCAGAGGGGGTGTCAACAGTCTCTAATCAATATTTTATCAGATTTCTGATTTTGCTGTTTCAAATACGGCGTGCACGTACTCCATTGGACAATTCGAATTTGCGTCTGTTGTCAAGGTAAACCAAAGTAGACAAATGTCTCAAATCTGTGGTTTGATGACAGCGAAAAAACCCCTAGCACCGAGATTGAGTTATTTATCGCAATTTACCATGTTTACAGTGTAAAGACACCATGAGGACCACGTCGAGAGAACTTTTACCGTCACAGCTACTGGTAGAGCACCATCGAGCGACCTTGAAGTGAAAAGGATGCTTAGATAATAACACAACAATGCTATAAAAAACTGAAAAATGTAAAAAAAGGCGACAAAAAAAGCTCGTCGAAAGTACAAGCGTTTCCTTGCGTGTTAATTGACTGTGACATGCGTGTGTGATTATAGAGGACGTGTGCATGGTTTATGTGGACCAATGGGATGTCAGGAGAAATAATCAATACTGATCACTGCCAAAAGAGACATTACGGATTCCCATTACCGACAGGAGAAGCAGTGAGCTCCAAATTACAATGTAGCTAAACCCTCATTCGGCGTGCAGGCAGTTGATCTAGCCGCAACTGATACTGTAAATAGTGGTTGGACTGAATAACCGCCAAAGGCGGTCCCACGTCGCACCATTCGGTTGACCTCTGCAAAACAATTTTGTTTACAGTATCTATGCTTTAGAGCTGAATAAATGGGCCAAAATACGTTTGGACTTTGGCAGAACACAGCCCATTTGTTAGTCTTAAACGCGCAGCATAACTGATTTTGTGCCATCTATCAAGCCATTGCTCTGTACTCTCTAAGGTAGCAGCAGCATCGACCAATCCTTACCAGCCATTTTTATTGTTTAACTGGTCTACGGCACACGCGGACATTTTGATTTCTCAATACACTGCTAGTTTGTGCGAAGTGACACACGCGTTTCGGCTCAGAGAAAGTTGCGCATTACTAACTGATTATTGACTTCAACAAGTTATGTCCATCAACGAATCATCGAACATTTTCTCTACACCAGCACCTCCTGCTATGACAAGATAACACACTTATTGCACTTCACAAACAGGGGAATCGGATGGCTCAAAAAGGGGCTGCAGCGATGTTGCAATGACTCGATCACAATTCAACAGGAGGAACTCCTGTGAATGCAACTTCTACCACAATTTCGGCTTGTCCATGCTGAAGCGGCCAACTTCCCATCAAAGAACCACATTTAGTTAAAACGAACGCTTATATTACTAGGAATTAACGAATCCAAAGAGGAAGTTAGGAAGAAAAACCGAGGTAGCGAAGGGGGTGATGAGGGCGCCGTGCCATCGATTGGAGGATCTAGAATCTCGGCGATGCTGGCCGAAGGAAGAAGTAAGGCACCTTCAGGCAGCCTGGAACGCAAGCAGACACTTTCTTCCAACCCGCGTAATGCAAGAGAAATCTGTGGATGAAAAAAGAAGATAAGACGAAGCAGTTGTGGTTCCACTTTGGTGTAATTTGCATTTGTGAGTGCCGCTAAGTGCCCTGCGCGTTAAATAGCATCGCACAACGTGTTTTCAGACGTCTCTATCAATTTAATCGTCTCTCCCAAATCAAGCTCAAACAAGCAAAAGAGGTTTGTTCTAAACGGCTTCGAAGAGGTAGAAGAAGCGATGCTACCACCAGGTTAGACACGCTGACTCCATTATCACATATAAAGGTCAATCCGAAACATTCAATAACGACTGCCATGCCTAATCGATATTCAAAGACACCCAGTTGAAAGCCGACAGGACATACTTGTATGAACGAAAACTCAACGGCGAGCGTCCGTCGATATCCCTGATGCCCTTTGAGGAAGCAACGTCGGCTACGACGAACACGTGACCAGAACGCGACATTATGTCGGCCCTCGACTCCTTCGCGATTTCCGCCAATACGCGGCCTGTGAACTCCGGTGATTCGGCTGAAACACGAAGTGAGGAAATATTGCTGATGTATTTGGACCGGAACAAGGCTAATTTAGACACCCCAAGAAAATCCACACCAGACACGCCATGCCGACGGTTTCAACACTCAATTCGTATGCACGACGATGTCATCAACTTACTGTGGGCGTTTATGTCGATGGGCAATGTGTTACCGGCCTCATTAGCGTAGTTCAACATCAGTTCCGTTCGCACAACACCAGGCCAAAGTGACATCACGGAGACGCTCTTCCCACAAGACTTCAATTCGGTCGATAAATCAGAAGACATTCGGTCCATGGCGCTTTTGCCTGCATTACAAACAAAGTCAAACTTTGAACAGAAAATCACACCGATTTCGAATGATCAAAATTTTGGCATGTTGCACAATACGGCGTCCACACTGTGACAAGACTACTCTTCACAAAAGAAGTCGGCATAGATGCAAAACACTTTGGCAACACAGTCTTTAAGTGCTCACGATATTGT